ACCGCCATTTGGCCCCAATACGAAAAAAAACAAAGGTAACGACAGGTGGCGTGGCCAAAGGCGCGTGCGGACGATGCCTTCCAAAGTTTTTATTTTTTAAAAGGGCCAAGAGGCGTACGGGAACAAAGTTCAAATTACCAAATGTGTATAGAGCCGTGACGACCTCGGTAAGACATATATAGACATCGTAGAAACAAATACCTACACACTTTTTTTTATAGGCATGTAGGTAAATGATCTGTAATAAAAAATAAACTTGTAAATTGTTCTAGAGTTTTATGAACGAGTGAAGTTTTAAATTGAATAGGTAATTTATGAAAAAAAATTATCTACTTCTAATGTATTTATTATAAGTTACTAACATACTTAGGTAATCTGTAATTTACCGGATACCAATAGGTTTTGTAGATTACTTAAATATTTAATTTTTTTTATAAAAATAACGTGAACTATTTTGTAACTTTGACATTTAAGAAACTGGTAGGTAGACAGTAATCCGTTTATATAGTCTGCATTAGCTACAACATTTTTATTATCCGATTTATATTTTCTATGGCATTAAATCTATTATTTTGAATACAAAAAAATCGAAGGTAATACAGAAATCACTTAAATTACAGATAACCCGAATTCTAATTAAAGAAAACCATAAACAAATTAAATGCTTACCGAAAAATAAATCCGTATAATCACAAATAATAGTTCACAATCACGAAATAGTTCCACACAAAATGTAACAACACTAACGTCCGTATATTATGGGGTCTCTCACATTACTATGCACGTACGATACGAAACGAAACCGAGAAGTGTACCTACAACAAAACGAACGATCGGCCCGGCCGGCCGGAACTCGATTATTGAGACGAGAATCGCCTATTCCTTTGCCGCGCTTGGCTAATATAGTATGCATTAAAAAATATTGTAACATTAGTTGTCACCCAATGGTCGCAATTCGAAATTTAAATTCGAACCATAATTAATTTAATTTATGGTTGTTTCACATTCAGTAAGACAAGACTAACAATATTAATCTATTGAATTATCAATTTGACATATGCGTGTTTGTCAAATATATGGTGATGCGTGTAATGTTTTTTAATAGGTTTAATTTATTTATTATGTATGATTTAAAAAAAAAACATTCTGCATTATATTGCGGGTAAATGATACGATGTTGTTGGTCGAGACGATGTATATTATAGATGATAATAGACTGACTATATGTACATAGAAATATTGACCTCATATACTAACACACAGTTTGGACACAGCAGTGCTTAGTAGATAATATTGAATTTGTCTTACTAGGCATTATTAAATGCAATTATAATTTTGATGTATCTAGGTTACTGTGTCCCATACATTACGTCTCTATATAAACTAATAGTTTAATAGATCTAAATACGAACTAAAATTAATTTAAATTATTATATTCATCAGTAATAATATACACAAATAATTTTAAATACAAACAATATTAATCTATTCTCAATTTGACTTTTGTGTTATTTTTCATGCATGATTAAAAAAAATACAGCATTTTGCACTCCTCTAAAATAATTATAAGTGTGCGAAATTTCATACTCCTTCGTTTCCGCAATTTTCGTAAAGACAAGTACTAAGTTTTAGCTTCAAGTATTAAAAAAAATATGCAAGATTCTCGTATCACAGTGTTTGTAATAAATCTTCTCCGAAATATCTTGACCGATTCTTATGAATCTTTGACTATATCTACTGAGGTCTGAGAATAACCAGCTGTGGCCCTTGTCAAACTTATTTTTATTTTATGGACAATTTATTAATTATTGATTCGGTATTAGAAATATATACAACCCTTAATGTTCGACTTCTACCATGAACTCCTATTTTTTAATAACTACATTAATTTATATGACAAAACAACGTTTTCCCAGTCTGCTATCTAAATATATATCACTCAAAGGTGACTGACATACGCCCGAAACTAATATTCAATACTAATCCATTTTTAGCAATCTAAGATTGAAATTTCAATCTATTTTTGTAAAACGCGTGCCAATAATCTATCTATGGATTGACATTGTAATCTTTTATGATCTATCAACGCACAGCCCAAACCATTGGACGGATCGGGCTGAAATTTGACATGCAGGTAGATGTTATGACGTAGGCATCCGCTAAGAAACGATCTTGATTAATTCTACCCCCAAGGGGATAAAAAGGGTATGAAAGTTTGTATTAAACTTTGTCAATTTTAAACCGATCGGGTTGAGACTTTGCATACATAAAGCTACTATGACGTATGCATCCCCTAAGAAACGATTTTGATAAATTCCACCCCTAAGGGGATATATTAACGTGAACGAAGCCGCGGGCAAAAGCTAGTTATATTATATTTTAGACCGCGCCATGGCCTGTAGTACTTCCTCGACTTACTCCCATTAGATTAGGAGTTCAAATCTGATTGACAAAAACAACATTGTTAAATTTATCAAATTATATTTCTAACTCTTCAGAAACTTGACTGGCATAAAAAAAACATTGTACAATTCATAAAATAAATATTTCTGACTAACTCTTCGATGATGGAAACACCGTTCACATTTTTTAAATAATTGTAATAGCAAACAAGCCGGTGTCGGTTCACCTCATAGGAAGTGGTAACCATTCCGAATATCATAATATTTATGTCACGTTTATTTAGTGAATTCGCTACGGTCATTTTCAGGGGGCACCGCGTGAAGGTCAGCCTGACCTCGGACATTTTTTAATGGATGATAACGGAATAGTGCACCAGCCGGCTAAGCATTGCAACGTAAACCGTTAACGCAGGCGGATAAGATGATAAGATGAGAATCAGGTAAGGTAATTTAGCTCATCGTTGCAAATTCACAAAGAATTCATGACGATGGTTTACAGGGTAGCCGCGTGGAAGTTAAGCTGACATGGTACATTGCTATTGGGTCATCAGTCCTCATCACTAACTATCCCGATCCCACCAAAGATGGGAGATTGCTACAATGCAACCTCTACTTAAGTAGATTATTATTATTAATAATATTAATTAACATCTTTATTTGTTTCAAATAAAAACTAATACAATTGCTGCTTGCCACTATTTGCAGTTACAAACAATGCCTCTCAACATTGCTCACAAATAGTGCATCCCTCCCACTTTATTTGTACTAGTAGACCCGGCCACGCTTTCCTGTGGCTAAGTTTCTTGAATAAAATAATATTGCGACTATAAATTGAGATGTAGCTATCCAAACTTTCAAGTTGGATCAAATTGCACACAATGTGCAAATCAAATTTGCAATCGGTTCAGTAGTTTAGGAGTCCATCGCGGACAAACAACGTCACACGCAATTTTTATACATATTAGTATAAATGTAGGATTATGGGGAATATACACATAGGTTCATTTTCTTCAAAATGGAACAAAACTGAATTTTGGAATTGCGAAAATTTAAAAGCCAAGACATAGTGCTCCACAGTTTTTATGTATTACAACGTCTCTTCTTTCAATTACAATAATAATAATACTAAAAGGTGACAACATTTAAAGCACGGCAGCTGTATTATAGAACATCTTTTGTTGACTAAATACCACCCCACATTATTATAACAAAGAACTATGAACCTTCTTCCAAAGTAATAAGTTTTAAACTGCAATTATTCTGATTGACACGGCCGCGCATTGCGTACTGCGATGCGATTCGAATAGGTCGATTTCGTTTGGGGTCCATTTCTATTGTCATCAATTTTGTGGTTACCTACACCTGGTGATTAATTTCTGTGTTAAATAATTTATAAAAACAAATGCCAACCTCAGTGATGTAAGTCGGATGGTCGCGGGTTCGATTTCCGCACAATAAATTTTGTACATATGTTTGTTTATATTAATTGGTCTGAGTATTTCGTTTTATATATTTTCAGTTAAATAGAAAAAGGCAATATTCAAAATGTAATTTTTTTACAAGACAAGCATTAAAAATGATTGAATGTTTTAAAATTTATTTAATTTGTTTTTCCTTTTAGTTTTAAATTTACACAGAAGTATTATATATTATTTTAAAAGTATTTAGATAATGATTAAGACGGCGTGGTTAATTTAATTGACTTATATAAAAGGAGGCAATTCTAGCTTCTAATTTTGGAAAATAACATTTTTCTATTTAATCGACGATATTCAAAATGTATTAAATATTTCTCTAGCAGTTTATTTAGTATAGTGGTCCATAATCGTTAATACATCAGATAAGATAATATTACAATATAAAACTGTATTTATAGGTTTGGGTTCAGACGTAAATAATGTTTAAATACCAAAAAATTAAGTCTATGCAATATGTCGAAACAAGAGAGTTTTTTTTTTATTATATGTACTTCAAATAAATTTGTTACGTCAATATTAATATAGTAGCTAGACGAGTGCATGCTTATAAGAGCAGATGAGAAATTAATTAATTCATCAAATAATGACACCTCGAATAAAATCTGTGGGCTATTTGGACAGCTCTGGTTTATTCTATTTTATCATTTACTTACTTTGCTGGATACGAATTGTGCTGTGCAGGAGTATTTATAAGACTATCAACTCCTTCTAATCCTAGCTAAAACTATTTTATACTTAGAACTATACAGAAGAGAACTGTAAGAAATTTATGGAGACAGATATTATTCTAAGTACATCAAACTGATATATTTAATTTTGAATATTCTTTATTAGATATTTGATGGCTGTAGACAACTAGACAGGTTTTAATATCAGAGCCTCCAACTTAAAGGTGTTAATTTTACTTTTTCCCATATTATTTTAGTAATAGTTATGTTGAACCAATACAATGACAATAAGTCTTATTCGTAGTCATAGCATAACTCCCTGTATAATTTTATTAACAGAAGAATAGAAGAGAACAGAAGAAGAATAGGCAGAAGAGCTTGTTTTCCTTACCTGTAAGTACGTTAATATAATATATATGTCAATCTAGTAATTATCGAATTATCGGATCGTCATGGTTGTATGGGTATAGTTTCCTTTGCCTTTCCTTTAGAAGATAAACAGAAAAAAAAATTGATTTGTCAGTATGGCTGTCTGAATTTGAAGTATTGTGCTGTCAGTGTGCTGTCAATCAAGTGAAGTTTGTCTTGTCTGTGGTAAATATTATCACAAATTGTGCTTTGAATAAAAATGCCAGTACTGAAATTATTGACGATATTGAAGATTTAATATCGTCTCAGGACATAACACCGAAAGAAAGATATTCGAGCAGAAAGAATGTGAATGCTAGGACGAAAAAACGGGAAGTGAAAACTACCGAACCCGTCGAAAAGGTTATACTGGAAAGTGTTGTTCCAGGTATTTGTAACCTAAAAATAGATGAAATCTGTTTTTACTTGTTCTACTTAACAACTACAAGACATAACAGCTTACTTATAGTTAAACGAATTAATAGTATTATATATTTTATATTAATAATCTTTATATACTATATAAACACTAGGTTATTCATTATCCATCAGTGCCCACGAACCGCTTTCTGTTTTATATAATGATTAATTGTTAGACAATTCCATTTTATTATTATTATAGCCTTAACATCCACATAACACATATTTTTCAAACCTATAATTATTTCTTTTGGTTATTTTTTTTTCTTATTATGTCGCCCCTCGGGTAAAAGGCTCCTCCAACTTCTGCCAAACCTCAACAACAGGGGGAAAGGGGATTGTTAGTAATGTGGACTCATGACCCCATTACTAGCAATGTACTATGTCAGGTTGACCTCCACGCGGTTCCCCCTGGAAACCATCGTGATAAATTCATGGTGAATTTATCATGTTGGGCTAACTGACCTGACCTCATGCTCATCTTGTCATCCTCCACTGGTGCCCCGCCAGCGTAAACTGATAGCGCAGGCGGGTGGACTATTCCATTAACATCCATAAAAAAAACCTCAACAACAGACAATTCCATATATTACTGACACTTTTTATTCTGTCACCCTCCTTTTTGATAAAGACATATGTGATGCTTAAAATCCACTTTGTTTAAAATCTTAATATGCACAAGTGTGGGGTAAGGGGATTGTTTGTAATGGGAACTAATAATGCCATTACTAACAATGTACCATGTAGGTTGTCTACCATGCGGTTCTTCCTAGAAACCATCGTGATAAATTCTTAGTGAATTTGTCACAATGGGCTAACTGACCTGACTTCATATTCATCATATCGTCCTCCACTGGTGGACCTTCATGCCTTCATGCCACCAGCATAAACCGTTAGCACAAGCAGTTGCACCATTTCATTATCGTCCACAAAAAATATATATGTACAAGTATAATTATTATAATAATAAAATTACAGGCACTCAAACAATATATGTGAAGACATGGGGCTGTGCTCACAACAACTCCGACTCGGAGTACATGGCGGGCCTGCTGGCGGCGCACGGGTACCCGCTCACAGAAGACAAGTGGCAGGCACAGCTGTGGCTGCTCAACTCTTGTACTGTGAAAAGTCCTTCGGAAGACCACTTCAAGTATGTTCAAATATAAAAAAAAAATTCTTTTCTTTCTGTCTAATTCTAATATTAATATGTGAAGCAGAAATTTTGTACCCCTTTTTATGAAAAAGGGGTATTGTACCCCTTTTTATTTGCGTATGGGAGACGGTAGAAAAGGGTTTCATACTTCTGTATGAAGCTTCACACACTTATAATTTATATAGAGAAGGAGTGTGGAATGCTAATATTATATTATATTATATATATATATATATATATACTAGCTGTTCCCGCGACTTCGTATGCGTGGAATTTAACTTTATATTTCTAAAATTAACGATTTTTTCTAAAATAAAAGTAGCTTAAGTTACTCCTTATAACATTAATTACTTGCCAAAAACAGTCCCGTCAAAATCGGTCCAGCCATTTCAGAGATTAGCCGGAACAAACAGACCGACAGACATACAGACAAAAATTGTAAAAAATGTTATTTTGGTGTATGTACCTTTTTTATATTCATATGCATGCAGTAAAAAACGTTTATGTCAATATTACAAACAGACACTCCAAGTTTATTTATATGTATAGATAAGAGAGAGCTACATAAATTCAAGCAAAGTTCAGTAGCATCAACAGTGAATAAGTGTACCGATACCGTGAGTGCGCGAACTATCGTTGAACAATCTAGTGATGGTAGATGAAAAAACTGCTGTCACCTATCTATATTAACATCCCTGTAACTCCAGTTAGCTCGTGACCACGGCTAGTGCAACCTAATTGAAACGTCAAGAGAGGTAAATACTATTATTTGCCATAAAATTATTCCTGTAATAATCTCTGAGCTAGCTCATTAGGGTGGAGACTAAGCTGAGTATTGCATTTTGAGTCCGTTGTTAATTAATAATTAAATACATTTAAATACATTTTATAGAAATGAAGTGGAGCTGGGCCGCAGTAGAGGCATACATGTGGTGGTGGCAGGGTGCGTGCCGCAGGGCGCTCCCCGCGCCGGTTACCTGCAGGGGCTCAGCGTGGTTGGCGTTCAACAAATCGATAGGATTGTGGAGATTGTAGAGGAAACACTCAAAGGTAAGCTTTGTACTCCTACAAAATTAAATGGGCAATAGTCACTACATAGTATAAAACAAAGTCGCTGTCGCTGTCTGTCCGTCACGCGTCACGTCCGTCACGCCACGGATTTTGAAGCGTTTTTTAATAGATACAATGATTCAAGAGGAAGGTTTATATATATAATACATGTACACCCATGCGAAGCCGGGGCGAGTAGCTAGTAATGAATATAGTGAAATACAAAAGTAAAATACATATATAATTGTTAAAAGTAAAAGGCTCACAACATGTAATTTCATAAACATAGACATTTCTAAATATAAAATATTCATGCCTGTTGTATGGACAGACATAAATTTAGTAAACGAAGTTCCAACAAGCTTAATCGCTTAAATAAGAACCCGTGACCGGTCGTAAAGCGGTGTGCTAGATCACTAGACCACTGAGGTCGTCGTATGTATATTGTGAAACAAAGGTGACAATATATTACATAATATATACATATTGTCACTGTTGTTTCACAATATACATAGGATAATATACAGTGAGTTCCTTAATCAATACTCATAGCTAATACTTACTTTATAACTTTTTACAGGACACACAGTCAGATTATTTGGTCAGAGGAAAACTGAGGAAGGTCGGAAAGCAGGTGGGGCGTCCTTACTCCTCCCCAAAGTACGGAAGAACCCTCTCATAGAGATCATCCCCATCAACACAGGGTGCCTCAACCAGTGCACCTACTGTAAGACGAAGCATGCCAGGGGAGAACTGGGCAGCTATCCCCCAGAGGAGATTGTGGAGAGAGCCCGACAGTCATTCAAAGAAGGTGTCTGCGAGATATGGCTTACTAGTGAGGATACAGGTTAGTTCCTTAGTGTTGGAAACTATATTGCATTTTTTTTAAACCCTGGACTATTCACTCAGTCTGGATGGTCTAGTCCCAGGGTAAGTAGAGCTTATGTTATGGGTACTAGACAACTGATATAAATACTTAGATATTTTTTTTTGTAAATACATACATTATATAAAAGAAAACACCCAGATCTATACAAAGAATCATGCATAAATACAAATGTTTGCACCGTGCGAGGAATCGTACCCGCGACCGGTCGTAAAGCGGTGTGCTAGACCAATAGACCACCGAGGCTGTTAAATATGTACAATTCCTGTTTTGTTTTGATATGTGTCATAGATTTAGTAAAAGAATACATAGTTTAGGTTATCACGACAAAAATCTTTAGTGGCAGAATCTGCCCTGAAGAGGAACGCCAGTTCCAAACAGGAGAGGAAACGCCACTACACATCCTATATGGTTGTAGCCCACTCATGTATAAACGAAATATTTAATATAGCGAATTTGAAATAGGGCGAGCACAATAGATCTATGTAGGTCGCAGTGCTACAGGTGCTACAAACATCTGTCAATAGCCCAAACAAACCAATAAAAAAAATTAGGTTATCAGGGCCTCATATTGTATTAGATATTTTTCTGCCATTTAATTTCCCTGAAGTAACTTCAACTGTTCATATTTTTTCTTTTTTGTACTTCAATATTGCTCCTTTTTAAATGTCCTTACATAGTATAAAATAATGTCGTTGTTGCTGTCTGTCCGTCCCTATATATGCTTAAATCTTTAAAACTATGCAATAGATTTTGAAGCGGTTTATTTAATTGATAGAGTGATTCAAGAGGAAGGTTTATATGTATAATACATGTACACCCGTGCGAAGCCAGGGTGGGTAGCTAGTGTTATGTAAACAAATAAAAAAAAGCATAATAAGAAACGGTGAAACAATTTTTTTATACGCGTATTAACACTGGACGAAGGAATTAACACGAACTTAGCATTCCGTGGATTCACCGTGTGGATATCGAGTCTATCCATAGCATATAGTAATTTTTGTAGCTGTGACGTGGTCGAGTGAATATAGTCATGCTCACTAAAATGTCCAGACATGTGGTGGCGTGGTGGGCCGGGTCGTTGGGCTCCCTAAAATATGGTCGAGCGCAGTGATGGCTGGCTCATCCGTCATACTCGTGAACGAGTGCTGCTTGTAGGGACTGGTTTGCTCTTATCACTACGACTGATTTAATCTTATTGTGTTTTTATATTTGAGCCTAAATAAATTAGTGCTGGTTGGTAGTTTGTATTCACACGTTTCGACTTATTAAATGTGAACTTACAAGGATTGTTTAAAAGAGCAACACACAAGTTTCTTGCTTATTCTTCTTGTGATGAGACAGCTTTCCGAATAAGCGGTAGATTAAAAAAAATGTTGACTATTCAAAAGTGCTTAAATTAAGTTTATTTGAATAAATGATTTTCTATTCTATTCTATTCTATTCTATTCATCGTGTGGCTGAGAGGGAAACTCCGATCAGTTCCCGGGACTTATGACCCGGGTGTAGGTTAAAGGGCAAGTGCTCATGTAGAATATGATGCAATAGAAATTCATATATCCTCCTATTCAAGTCGTCCAAATAATATGCATTTTTATGTGATAAGAAAATTGTTACATTCTATTGTTTACTGTTTCACTCTGTTAAAATGTTGGTTATCATTATTTTTAGGAACATACGGTAGAGACATTGGTTCATCTCTCCCTGAGCTGCTGTGGAGGCTGGTGGAAGTGATCCCTGAGGGTTGCAGGCTGCGGCTGGGCATGACGAATCCACCATACATTCTAGAGCACCTCGAACAAGTTGCAAAGATCATGCATCATCCAAGGGTTTACAAGTAAGTCTATACTGTAACTGACTAAAAAAGTTAATGATTCCTGATCGACTGCTTACGATAAGGTTTTGTTTGGAGTACTTGGTTCATTGAGTTACAAGTTATTTTCGTATTAAATATAATATTGATTGCCTCGGTGGTCTATCGGTTGGTTAAGGACACCGTTTTTTTCCGATGATCGCGGGTTCGATTTCTCGCACAGTACAAACATTTGTAGTCATGAGTAAAGTTGTCAGATTTTTTCAGCCTATAAGGGGCAAACTCTTTAATAGGTAAAAAAATACGAGAATTTAGTTTTTTATCCCGGACAAATTATTAAAAGATAAATTGTCTAGCGTAAATTGATCGATTTAATAATACAAAACGGGGCATGATTCGAATACAGGACCAAGTCCCGCCGGGACATTTTAAACTAAACCTAAAATATGGGACGTCCCGGGAAATACGGGACGTCTGGCAAGGCTATTGATGAGTATGATCTTTTGTATCGGTCTGGGTATTTTCTATTATATATTAAGTATGTATTTACAATAAAAAAATATATATGTATTTATATCATTTGTCTAGTAGCCAAAAAATACAAGCTCTACTTAGCTTGGGACTAGATGGCGCTGTGTGATTTGTCCTTAAATATTATATTAGTACCCATTACGAATAACTTCTACCCTTCATACAGGTTCCTACACGTTCCGGTGCAGTCTGGCAGTGACCAGGTGCTGGCAGACATGAAGCGGGAGTACACCAGGGCAGATTTCGAGAGAGTTGTAGACTTCCTCAGAGAGAAGTATATATAAAAGTCTATTATTATATGATATTATTGATTACAACTCAATATCAGCGCTGGAAACTATATTTCCAGCATTACAGTTGAGTTATGATCATTTGTAAATTGTTGTTTCTTTATTTTTTACTTCCTTATTGTTGTACATCATTTTATATAGTATAAAACAAAGTCGCAGTCGCTGTCTGTTCGTCCGTATGGATGCTTAAATCTTTAAAACTACGCAACGGATTTTGAAGCGGTTTTTTTTAAATAGATATAGTGTCGAAGACGAAGGTTTATATATATAATACAAGTACACCCGTGCGAAGCCGGGGCGAGTAGCTAGTGTATTATATATATAGACCTTCCTCTTGAATCACTCTACCTATTTAAAAAAAACCGCTTCAAAATCCGTTGCGTAGTTTTAAAAACTTAAGCATACATAGGGACAGACAGACAGCGCTGTCGCTGTCTGTCTGTCCCTTTTACTTTGTTTTATGCTATGTAATAATACGTCAGAACAACATATAATAATAATAATAATAATCTCAGGACAATTCAGAGCCATCTAGACCCAAGTTAAGCTATCTAGAGCTTGTGTTATGGGTACTGGATAACTGATACATATACATAGATATTTCTTTTTGTAAATACATACATATTATACATAGAAAACACCCAGACCGATACAAACAATCATACTCATGAATACAAATGTTTGTGCCGTGCGAGGAATCGAACCCGCGATCATCGGTCGCAAAGCGGTGTGCTTGACCGCTAGACCACCGAGGTCGTCATATAGGCTATATATTTTATTGAAATTTATATATGAAAGTTTCACGCGAAACCGCGGGCACAGCTAGTAAAGATATGTATTATTCAGGGTACCCAGCATGACCATCGCGACCGACATAATCTGCGGATTCCCGACCGAGACGGAACAGGATTTCGAGCAGACAATGTCTTTATGCGACAAGTACCGTTTCCCGTCGCTGTTCATCAACCAGTTCTTCCCCAGGCCCGGCACCCCTGCAGCCAAGATGACCAGGGTGAGAGATATACCTTTATTTTTACTGTTACCATCACCATTGTCACAGGGTAATCCCCTGTAATGGGGATTGTTTGTAATATGGACTAATAACCTCATTACAGTAACGCACCATGTCAGGTTGACTTCCACGTGGTTCCCCTGCAAACCATCATGATAAATTCCTGATGAATTTGTCACGATGAGCCAACTGACTTGACCTCATGATCATCTTATCCTCCACTTGTACCCCGCCAGCGTAAACCGTTAGCGATTCCATTAACATCCATAAAAAAAAAACCCGTCTAATCGAGACCCGAAATTGAAATAATGTTAAGATATAATAGTTTATATACGTATAATTCAATCGGGGATCGAAATTACGACAGCCTGAGCCGAGGTTCGAATCCCTAGCGTATGCTATCATGGCTTCAGACTAAACTCACCTGTCGTCTGTGTGTTTAGTCGTGAAAAGGCAACAAACAGATATACAAAGAAATTAAAAAAAAAAATAACCTATAGCTGGAAATAGAATAGAATAACATTTATTATATGAATAATGAAATAAGAACAATATTTATTAAAATTAAATATTAATATATAACCCAGATTCTGTTCTGTTCTCTTATATTTTCAATATTTTTTTAACTGTTTACTGTTTAAAACCTTTGGTACTATTGGTAGAACGGCATAAATATAAATGTATTGTTATTTTTATTTTCCTTCAAATAAAAATTATAAATTCTATCGCATGCGTAATCCTTGTTAATGCGATTTTACTTAAAACAACATTTATTTAAAAGACCAATACGCATGTTTCATGCACATGCTTTTTGTAACGAGTCTGCGTTCTGAATATGTGGTAGAATAAAACAAAATATGACTATTCAAAAGTTCTTATATTAAGTTTATTTGAATAAAGATTATTTCTGTTTGTTGTTTAAGGTACCAGGCCAAGAAGTGAAGAGGCGGACCAAAATACTATCAGAGCTGTTCCGCTCATACGAACCGTACGGACATAAACTGGGCCAAACACAAGATGTACTTGTAACAGATATATCCCACGACAAAAATTATTACGTCGCGCACAACGAGTTTTACGAACAAGTATTAGTGCCCAAAGACGATAAATATATGGGCAAAATGGTCACAGTTCAAATAACGAACGCCACGAAATTCTCTATGGTCGGAGAGCCAATAGACAAACCCAAGATGGCGGGGTTGACGGCGCCGTTAAAGAAAGGAGAAGTGTCCGGTGTCTATGCTACGAGGACAGATAAAGTGTCAGTGCCTATACCAATATTTGTGTTACTGTTTGCATTATTGTTAAGAGTTATTTGGATATTTATGTAGCGATAGTAAATATATTTGTAAGAAAATTTGTTTTTTTTATGTAACTGGAAGCCCTGGCTGACGTACTTGATGGTTCGGGGTAACCGTAGCCTATATAAATAAATAAATAAACAATAATGGACAAATTACACAGCGCCACCTAGTTCCACGATAAGCAGAGCTTGTGGTACTAGACAACTGATATAAATACTTGGATTTTTTTGTAAATACATAATATACATAGCTAACACCCAGATCGTAGGGAAGGAGATTGTTAGTAATGTGGACTAATTACCCCGTTGCTATCAATGTACCATATCAGGTTGACCTCCACGTGGTCCCCCTGGAAACCATCGTGATAAATTTATGGTGAATTTACCACCATGGGCTGGGGGGAAAGGATTGTTATTATTGATTGCTAGGATTGTTACACTGATGATCTCAGTGCCAGCAATATACCACGCGGTTCCCCCTGGAAACCATCGTGATAAATTCTTCGTGAATTTGTCACGATGAGCTAGCTGACCTGACCTCATGCTCTTGTCATCCTCCACTGGTGCCCCGCCATCGTAAACCGTTAGCGCAGACGGCTGCAACATTCCATTATCACCAATAAAAAAAAATGTCCATCCATATGCATGTATATACATGCACATGTATGGACATTTTTTTTATATATACATATATAACCTTGGGCTGACCTGACATCATGCTCATCTTGTCCTCCTCCACTGGTGCCCCGCTAGCGTAAACCGTTGCGCAGGCGGGTGCATCATTCCATTATCATCCATAACTAAAAAATACACAAACCGATAAAAACAAACAAATTCATGAATACAAGTGTTTGTACCGTGCGAGGAATCGAACCCGCTACCATCGGTAAAGCAGCGTACTAAACCGCTAGACCACCGAGGTCAAACTGAATCTGAATGATATACCAGTGTTACCCAACACTCGTATTTAACAGGTTATAAACAAAAACATCATGTTACGGTCCGGTTATTCTTTTCATGTGATTTTATATAATAGAGGTCGGACTGCGGCCGCTGTTATATCTGTCTACCATTACATTAACGGTCACTACAGTTGAGAGGTGTGGTGGTATCTGTCTGCCATTACATTAACGGTCACTACAGTTGATAGGTGTGGTGGTATGTCTACGGGGTACAACCAACCTGGGGCGAAGAGGCAGAAGCGAGAAGGGAGGGCTGACAATGATTATTTTCAAGGTAAATATAACTTAACACACCACCGAAAGTCAAGTCGTTTTTCTTACGATGAGACAGCTTTCCGAATGAGCGGTAGATTAAATAAGTTATGACTATACAAAAGTACTTAAATGTAAGTTTATTTAAATAAAGAATTTTCTTTTCTAACCTTTGTATTGAACCATTTTGATATTTTAATATATGCAACTTAAGTCACAATTTTAAATATTGAACTGTTGCGGTACATTTCTTTAGAACTATCTTCGGAATTCAGTAGTTACAAAACACTTCGGGTATCATAATCATTAATAATAATAATAATAAAATTTCATGGGCACTAGATACAAATACGTAGATATTTTTTTTTCGTAAATACCTACATACATATTATACATAGAAAATACCCAGATCGATACAAACAATCATACTTATTAATTAATAGAAATGTTTGTGCCGTGCGAGGAATCGAAGCCGCGACCATCGGACGTAAAGCGGTGTGCTGGACCGCTAGACCACCAAGGTCGTCGCATTACATAGTATAGAATAAAGTCGCTGTCGCTGTCTGTCCCTATGTATGTACGCAACGGATTTTGAAGCACTTTTTTTGTAGATGGAGTGATTCTACGGGAAGCTTTATATATATATATATATATATATATATATAATACGTATACACCCGTGCGAAGCCGGGGCGAGTAGCTAGTATTTCTAATATTATTTATTTTATTCTTAGGCATAGACAAAATGGAGTACAACAATATGGCATCGTTATCGGACACAAGTGCCTACCGCTACTACAACAGCTCTGAGCGGGTGCACTCCAGGCCAATGGAGGACTGGGTGAAATACAGTGTCTCCCTCACCGAGTTCCGGAGTAATGGTGACGTATATATAATAGAAATGGTCACTATTTTCTCTCTGTCGTCAACAGGTTTCTACAACACATCTGCGAAAGGTTTAGTGAACCCATCGCGAGATATAGATAAAGAAAAAAAATTTACGGGAGCGACAATTTTTTTTTTCTTTATTTTAGCCGCTTAGCCGCGAATTTTAGCCGCTTAGCCGCGATTTTCCATGAAATCACAATCATGTAACAAACAGTCATCCTACATGGTTCTAGCCCACTCATGAATAAACGAAATATTTCTTTGGAAACTTTACACTCTATCCCGAGGAGATATAAACCATCGCTCCTAAGAATATCCTTCAATTCTGGTCCCTGTCGGGTCTAGGTAGCGAACTTTGGAAAAGGGCAAGCACAATAGATTATGCAAGTCGCAGTGCTACATGTCATAGCATCTGACAATAGCCCAAAATCCTCAATTAAAAAAAACAATCTTTCTTGCTCTGTGAATACTTTCGATTTTACGCTATTTATATGGATTAATAGTATAATTGTTTTAGGTCATAACAATTACGGTAAGCCACACCATGCTTGGGATGACGGTTCGCACTCCATCGACAACTACAAGCGTTGTATTAAAGCGTTCTTCGATTTTTGCAATAAACTCGGTGTAAAATACTGGACAGCTTTCGATACCGATCTAATCCCAATGACAGACAGCTGGGAGGAGAACCGAGTGTTATGGGACGATATTTTGGAGTACGTGCAGGATTTGATCCAACGATATCACGTTAAATTGCTGTGGTTAGCGCCAGATTTACATTCGCATACAAGGTGAAGTGACTGTTTTTGCTCTGTACTGATTCGAAAGTCTGACTGTCTATCTATCTCTTTCTTGCGTTTTACGACTAAATGCGTTATCGGATGAACTTAGTCAGACTTAGTTTTTTTTTTTGAGGGTTGTTAATGGAATGGTGCACCCGCCTGCGCTAACGGTCTACGCTGGCGGGGCACCAGTGGAGGATGATAAGATGAGCATGAGGTCAGGTCAGTTAGCCCATCGTGCAAATTCACCAAGAATTTAACACGATGGTTTCCAGGAGGAACCGCGTGGAGGTCGACCTGACATGGTACATTGCTAGCAATGGGGTTATCAATCCACATTACTAACAATCCCCTTCCCCTAGTCAGACTTAGTTAGTTAGATGAACAGTCAACACATAATAAAATTTGTAATCATATCTCTATTTATATTTAGTTTTTGGAATTATATATACTAGGTGGAGGGCGTCGATATTCGTAACACAGTTTTATACTTCTGTGAATATCATCGTTTCTTCAGTAAATTAGTACATATGTTTTCTGTATTAAGTAAATAAATAAATTTATATATAATTTATATCTTATATAAACAAGGAAATAAGGCCTGTCGCAGTATTAGTCATAGGAGAACAATGCATACAGTATGAACCCGTTATGAACAATCACCATCCGATTGTTCATAAGAGGTTCCTACTGTTTGCACTTGGCCTCTTACTAAGAATTTGCACAGTCAGGTCAATGCCTGCCTTTACAAGTATGTTCTTTCATGCCTGAATAGGCTATCAAGTAGGAAAGAATGCGTATGTAAATGTAGACAAAGAAAATTAGAAAGACTGCGCGCGCCGTTAGATTACACATTATCACGTATTTCTATCGAGCGTGAATTAAATTTTTTTAAAAATAAATATTTCAAAATGGCGCAAATGACCATGGAGCAAAAACATAATTCTAAAGCTATTAATAATTAAGAAATATTAACGTGTCTCTAGAAAATAAAATCTATGAAATAAAATTTAAAAGAAAATGTTATGACATGAAATATACGCGCGAATGAGTGAACAAAAAAAAATAGCGTACTGGCTTTCCCGCGCAAAATCACGTTTCTGAACGCGCGTGAAATAATATGTCCTCTATGTCCACTTCTAATTGACCTGACTTCATACGTGTTTTATTATCATCTTTCTCGGAAATAATATCACTACGAGTATGTATACATTTCAGATTATTTTGGTTTTTGTTTCTCTAGATATATTTCTGGCGCCTTCACGAGTAACGATGCCACTACCTTCACCCAAGCTGCGACACAGATTAAAAAATGCCTTGAAGTATCACAACGTTTAAACGCTGAATGTTTCCTTCTGTGGCCCTATAGAGAAGGCTACGATGTCATATTTCAATCCGATGTCGCCAGAGAAATTAAATTGTTTGCCAAACTATTGAAAATTACAGCCGAATATAAGGATAGATTGAACTACAGATGTCAATTGTTACTAATGCCGTATTATAACTGCCATTTAGGTAGAAATAACGGTTGGTTATGGCAACACCGAAATCGGCGGGAAAATGAACTGGTAAATATGTACATGTGGGACGTGACAAGTTGTTTGTACTTACTCAAGAGTTACAATTTGGATCGCTTTTACAAAGTCTGCACAATGCCTGGACATCATATGTGTATGGCAAATGTGTAAGTTACATATAAATTTTTGTAGTTTGTTACTAAATTACTATTTCGATAGATTGCACAAGATAATCGGTTTATTCGATTAATACAATTTTATTACCACCTCATCACTGTAACGTTATATATGATGTGATGAGGTGTCGCTACATAATATATTTATTTATTGTAGTATGAAGGTTGTGAGTATATGTTACAGGTGTAATAATTGAACTATTTATTGTACAATAGTAATTTTATTTGATAGTGTACATGGTCTACATGGTGTACATGGTGTACATGGCCTAATAGTAACGCGTACACTCAACGCGGAGTCGTAAGGTGGACTGACTTGACACTGAACTTAAATGTAAGTTATGTGGTGACGTAAACTAATGGAAGGGTGCCGAGGGTTGACAGAAATATTAAAAGTTTAGGGACACTAGTTTTTTATCTATGACTAGAAATATGAAAGTAATACAGAAGGTAATTGCAGAAAATAATTGGCTATTTGTACTCTTAATAAAATGGGGTACAAGAAGTTCATGAGTGGAAACAGAATATATAATTTTGACTGTAATGTTGCCATACTCATATCTTTCCTAATTTCTAGGCAAAAAGCTTAAAATTTTATACTATATAATGTTTACATCTTTAATAAATAATAAATATGCTTTTAGATACAACATGCTGGGCGGCGTGGTAATAACAAATGATATAGACCAGTACGACAGCAAAACCTTTACGCTCATGATGAAATGTGTGATCGATCAGGTAAATCCAGAAATAAAAAGAAATTTCCGAGAAACGACTGCCTATGGCGATAAAAACTTTTTGCCTAGCACGCGGTATAAAAAATCAAATCATATTGTACAAAAAGTAAAGATTGATCAAACCTCGTTCAAAGTTAAAATAAAAAAAATAATAAGAACACAGGAACAATTCACACAGCGCAATCATGTCCCAAGTAGTAGACAATTGTTACAAATACATTTTTTTTGTAAATCACATAGTATAAAACAAAGTCGCTGTCGCTGTCTGTCCCATAGGGACAATGCTTAAATCTTTAAAACTACGCAATGGATTTTGAAGCGGTTTTTTTTTAAATAGATAGAGTGATTCTAGAGGAAGGTTTATATATGTAATACATGTACATCCGTGCGAAGCCAGGGCAAGTAGCTAGTATAGTATATGCATAATATACCTACATAAAAAATACCCAGACTGATACAAACAATCATACTCATGAATAACAATGTTTTACAAATGAATTCGTGAGTATCGGAAATAAAGCGGTGTGCTAAACGGTTGGACCCATCCTTACTAAAATTTTGATTATCAGGGCATTCCACCGGGAGGTGTGAATTTGCAGTTACGAGCGCGGGAATGCTCGCCGCGAGAAATGCTCGCCTCGCATGCAAAATACGTAGATGCGTTAGCTAAGGCGTTACGCCTTGCCTCCGCTCTGGCCTCGGAGCAGACGTTCTCTAAACACTTGCAGGTAATTTATTTCCATGAAATTGACTGTATTCTACACAGAAAGCGTATTGGCATAGTTTTTATTGAATGCAAAACACGTGGATGCGTTAGCTAAGGTTTTACGCCTTACCTCCGTTCTGGTCTCGGAGCAGACCTTCTCTAAACATTTGCAGGTAACTTACTACCATGAAATTAACAGAACACTATACAGAATGTTATCTGCGTAGTTTGATTTAATGCAAAATATTTGGATGCTTTAGCTAAGGCTTTATGCCTTGCTTGCTTGCAGATTAATAATAAAATAGAGAAATGTGAGTAGCGGCCGCTGTTCTGTGTTACGCAAATTGTATTAACGTTTTGCGTAAAACAGAACGGCGGGAGGGAACGGTCGATCTAGAAATCGATGCTTATCGAGTGACAAATAGAATAGAAAAGATTGGCAGCGATCTTGGATTGTGGATACGTTATAAGTATCGGGCATAACAGTGTTAGATACTTATTACATTAATATTTGCTTCACAGCAACGTTACTCGTCGTTTGGCAGCGGGTTCGGTTCCCGGCTGGTCACCAGCGACGTCACAATGGAGGAGTGCGAGGACTATTACAAGTTAGTATTGTATGCTTTATCTTCTTGTGTCCTTGACTTAAAGTAAGTTGTTAATTCAACAAGCTATGTTTTTAGCGCGTTCGGTCGCATTATTTAGATCAGAGGTTTTTTGTGTTGTAGACCCTTTTCCATATTTTTCGGTTTTGGGTAGAATGGGGGGGGGGGGGCATTCTTACCTGGTATTGATTTTTGTAAATTTCTAACTGTAGTAAAGTTTAGTGTTAAAAACATAAAGTAAAAACAAGATGACCGCTATCGTAGACTCTTGTAGTTTGTCATAGACCTCTGGGGGTCGATATAGACCACTTTGGGAATCACTGATTTAGATGTTCCTTCTATAAAATAGCTTGCAAATTTCTTTCCTACTTGAGATTATGTAATATTATCTTATCTATGTTTGACTTATAGTTATATTTTGAACAATTCACACAATATCTTTATAAACTATAGCCTATGTGTTCTTCTGATGTATGAGCTATATTATTGTAAAGTTGCATTCAAAACTATTCAGTAGAGTTTTCGTGAAAGAATAATAAACATCCATTCATACAAACTTTCGCATTTATAATTTTAGTAACTACCCCTCCGATCGATCCCCCGTCCAATTCAAACGGGGACAACATTACGACGGGTTGAGCTGAGGTCCACAAGGCACCACAAGGGGTTCCCCTTGTGGTGCCCTCAGACTAAACTCGTATCCGTCAGGCAGGAGTTGGCTTTCAGCCGCTCCATAAGTCCTTCCGCGGGTTTGGAGTGTCATCTGCACTCGCCCCATAACGTCCGGTGAAGCTGTAAAGGCCAGCTGCGGCCAACAGTATTAGAGTAGCACAAAAAAAAATTGTGTAATACGAGTATACATATTTACGACTAGCTGACCTGCGCAACTTCCTCTTCATCACACTTGATGTGTATCATTATAAATATTTCGGCTATGTGTTTGTATCTGGTGTATAAGCTATATTACTGTTAAGTTTCATTAAAATCCGTTAAGTTGTTTTTGCGTGAAAGAGTACAATAACCATCTACAGTTACAAATCTTCGCTTTAATAATATTAGCAATTATCTTATCTGTGATATTAGTAAGATTAGTAGGATAAGATACTCGTATCTATATCTTGACATATATGTTACTAGCTACTCGCCCCGGCTTCGCATGGATGTACATGTGTTATATACATAAACCTTCCTCTAGAATCACTCTATATATTATGCCCAATTTACACTCAGCCCGAGTGGGCAGGGAAGTGAGCAGCGCGAGAGTGTAAACACTTCCAATGCCATTGGCGCTGCCACTCCTGCTGCCCGGCGCTCCCTCTATTGTGGGTTTTTCGTGTGCGAGTCAAATAGAAATAGAAATAATCTTTATTCAAATAAACTCATTACAAGCACTTTTGAATAGTCATATTTTGATTCTACCACTAATTCGGAATGCAGATTCATCACAAGAAAAATGAGCAAGAAACTTGTGTGTTGCTCTTTTTAATAGATGTTTTTTTTTATATAAATAATTACAGTATAACAAGTAAGAGGCATGCGATAATCAACATAGAAGTCGCTACGCACTCATTATTAATGTAATCAGATAATATTCTCAGTGCTATGGATTTAAAGTTTTTCTATAAAAACATTATTATCGTTAACGAATTCTTCAATTTTATAGTAAGCTTTTTTCAAAGGAACTGTTTTATTTGACATTTAAATCTTTTTTCTGAAGGACTGGCAGCGCGAGTGGCAGCGTTTTTTTACATTCAGCCCTCTCGCTCAGTTATCGCCTGGCATATTTCCGGTAGCGCGAGTGGCAGGGGAAGCGGCTGAATGTAAACGTAGCATTAAAAAAAAATCTCTTTAAAATCCGTTCCGTAGTTTTAAAGATTTAAGCATACATAGGGACGGACAGACAGCGACAGCGACGTTGTTTTATATTATGTAATGATTTCTGTGTAATAGAGACATATGAAAGGGAGTTCCCCGTGAAACAATGCGTGCTTTATGACCACTAACAACGCACTGTTAAACCCATTTTTCAGTTCACACTGAATATTGGTGTAGATTGTATCACCTTCATTCTCAAGTTTAATATTTTGTACTAGTGTGTACAAAATATGAAACTTGAGAATGATGTTTAGTTCCAAGTGACATTATATTGTAGAGATGGTATCATCGTAATCAAGTTTAATATTTTGTACTACCTTGTTTAGTTCCAAGTGACATCCTTCATTCACTTCATTCTATCATCCTCTATTGGTGCCTCACCAGAGTTTGCGTTAGCGCAGACCGGTGCATCTTTTGATTCATTCATTCTTACTTATCTTTTTCTTTCCTTCTTTTCGTGTCAAATAGTGAGTTTTATTAAATTTTTTATGATACATCGTATATATGTGTACTGGTTATTGGAAACGAACTCTATTTATATAACAATAAAGTTCAGTGTTGTGATAGTTTTTACATAATACGTATGTGATGCAATGTAAATTTGATTTATGTAAGTATGTTATTAGATGTACATTTAATTTAAGTAATTTAGATTTTCTTCTGTGTAAGTGAAATGGAAAAAATGTTATAAAAATAATAATATTTTCTCCACAAAACATTGATTGGTTTACAGTAACTGAGCTATTTGGCATGTAAATGTAATGCTAGCACCTGGCTAATAAACAAGGATGTCATAAAATATATAGATAAATCAATTCCTGGTTATTTTTAATGAATGATAATCGTATGGTAAACCCGCCTGCGCTAGCAGTTTACGCTGTCGGGGCATCAGTGGAGGATGATAGGACTACCATGAAGTCAGGTCAGTTAGCCCATCGTGGTAAATTCATACCAGTGGAGGATGATAAGATGAATATGAGGTCAGGTCAGTTAGTTCATCGTGGTAAATTCATACCAGTGGAGGATGATAAGATGAATATGAGGTCAGGGCAGTTAGCCCATCGTGGTAAATTCATACCAGTGGAGGATGATAAGATGAATATGAGGTCAGGTCAGTTAGCTCATCGTGGTAAATTCATACCAGTGGAGGATGATAAGACGAATATGAGGTCAGGTCAGTTAGTTCATCGTGGTAAATTCATACCAGTGGAGGATGATAAGATGAATATGAGGTCAGGGCAGTTAGCCCATCGTGGTAAATTCATACCAGTGGAGGATGATAAGATGAATATGAGGTCAGGTCAGTTAGCTCATCGTGGTAAATTCATACCAGTGGAGGATGATAAGACGAATATGAGGTCAGGTCAGTTAGTTCATCGTGGTAAATTCATACCAGTGGAGGATGATAAGATGAATTGAGGTCAGGTCAGTTAGTTCATCGTGGTAAATTCATACCAGTGGAGGATGATAAGATGAATATGAGGTCAGGGCAGTTAGCCCATCGTGGTAAATTCATACCAGTGGAGGATGATAAGATGAATATGAGGTCAGGTTAGTTAGTTCATCGTGGTAAATTCATACTAGTGGAGGATGATAAGATGAATATGAGGTCAGGTCAGTTAGCTCATCGTGGTAAATTCATACCAGTGGAGGATGATAAGATGAATATGAGGTCAGGTCAGTTAGCCCATCGTGGTAAATTCATACCAGTGGAGGATGATAAGATGAATATGAGGTCAGGTCAGGTAGCTCATCGTGGTAAATTCATACCAGTGGCGGATTATAAGATGAATATGAGGTCAGGTCAGTTAGCCCATCGTGACAAATTCACCGGGAATGTATCACGATGATTTCCAAGGGGGACATGGTACATGGTCTGACATGTTACATTGCTAGCATCATATATATATATAGCATAGTGGTGTCATCAGTCCACATTACTAACAATTCCCTTCCCCCTCCTGGTGAATTTGTCACGCTGGGCTACCTGACCTGACTTCATCCCAATATTAATCATATTCCACTGGTGTCCTGCCAGAGTATACCCTTAGCACAGATGGATGCACCACTCCATTATCATCCATTCCTCTGATGTTTACTCTCATATTGTTGCAGGAGGAACCATCAAAACCAGCAAAATGATTCAACAAAATCGGAACAGCTGGATGTGATGTTCCAAAGATTTCTGGATACTTGTGACCGCATCTGAAACTTTAGCTGTAAGTATAACAAGTAATAATGTGGTTAAAAACTTTTTTTAAGCCAAGTATATTTTTTCATGTAGGTTTATTACAGACTCTTATGATATGTTTAGTATTTTAATCGGATTTATAAACTTTGTAAAAACTTGCGTAATGTTGACTGGATAGGCTCTCTTTTAGAGATAAGTCCTTTGTTAATATTGTGTTTAACATACTGCAATAATGTATTTAATATATGTACCTCAATAATGTACCTATTTAATAGTGCAATAAAGTTCATATTAACCAGTTTTAGATACAAATTGCGTTGTAAAGTAAATATGTTTTCAACAATTCATATATACACTGGTTCCGAAGCAGTGCAATGATATCCAATATCTCTAGACAATCTAACATATTTACTATACTGGTTAAGAGGTTCCGCTCCCCCGATTCTCAACATCAGTGATGCAGTTCTCTTTCGAATTATGACATGAAACCCGGATCCCAACAAGATCCTAAACCCATTTATCCATTATATTGTATGTTTTTATCGTTATGTAAAGACTAGTAAAAAAAATTAAATGCTATACTAAAAAAAAAGTTTGGATTCTAGCTGATTTGTACCTAATAGTAACAATTTGAAATGTGCCGAACCCAAATAATGGGATAAGGACAATGACAATAATTATGATGGTGAACAAATTTTTAAATTTAATTTGTTTCAAATAAAAACGATTGCAATTAAGTTACTTAATGGATATATTCATTACATTAGTGACAAAATTACATAGTTGTTCTTATAAATTACCCGTAATTTTCAGAACATTTCGTAGGTTTTTTTAATATATAATATAAATTTTATTATAATGTTTCGTTAATTATTTTGACTATTCTTAAATGCGTTTATTGTTCTGACTTAATAAATCTGTCTTAGTAAGTTAAATGACCAATGTTCTTTAACTTATAACCCTGTTAATTAATTAACTTTGAATACTCTACGTTATTTCTTAGTGTTATATTTCTCACGTGCCATTAAATGTATTTGTAATCGTAGCCATTGCAAATTGTATGCTTTATTTAATGTTTAAATATTTAGTTTTTTATGCAAGTCAAAAAAAGTATTAGATATTAGTTATTTTCATAATAGAACTAAACACTCAATTACTTATAACGGTTTATAAGTAGTTGAGTGTTATAACAACTCAGCACTATGTCTAGATTAATATACACTTTCTTCATATCATGCAATTGTGTGAGCGATAAATATAATAATACATATACGGACGTACCTATGCATTTAAGTAATAGAATATTTGTATAATAAATTATTTAATTATTGATTTTACTCGATCAAAATAAATGCCCAATGAATATATATCGTATCTGTAAAACTAAATATACTTACTTCATCACGTCACAGTACATGCTAAAGAAACTGTCGGTAGGTAATGTAGCATTAATATGGGTAATTTATGAACTACACTCTATTTTGTAATTGAACTAATTCATATAGGGCCCCACAAAATCGTTACACATACAAAATAATAGAAAAATACATAATTATATTAATTACATTATAACTAAATGCGTATCAAGATCTCTTTACTTATATTCTAGTGAGTACACCCAAGATTTATTAGTAGAGCCAATCATTAATTGACTTAAAACGGTTTATTTATTTTGGGCCCAAACCTAAATAAGTTGGCAACACTGCAATAAAAACATGAAGGGTCAAAAGGACTTGTATCCAGAGCCGTAAAACGCTACGTTACGTTACGTCATTGCAAACATTGTTTACCACTTTAATAATAAATATAGGTATTATAATAATTAAATTTAATAAATAAAATACTGTAATCAAATATTTGATAATTTATTTTCATTTCTTTTTTTGTAGTTTTCATATTCACAGCAACTTAAGGACTATAACTTTTAACATTAAATACTATTTAATAAATTATAGTACTTATACATAAAAATTGTGCATAATTTTTTAATATTACGAGGTAAGGCGTATGTAAATTTCAACCTTCAATGCCAGTAAAAATTTCTATATCGACACCATAGCTAATTGTAAAGACGATATAACATAGTTTTGCATGAGCTTCTATCTGCTTTTGAATAAGTGAGAGCGAGATAGAAGACAACGCAAAATGTCAAATTAATTGAAATTTATTGGCTTCTATTTTGTGTCGATGATGTAATTTGCATTTAGATAACTAAAAGGTCCAATAATAATTCTTAATTCTTTGTGTCTTGTTATATTACTATACAAAAATGCAAAATGCATATTAGATGCATGGATATCTTGTACATAATGTGTAATACGTGCATTATTTAACAATGACTTTTTACCATCTAGAGAAAGGGCATATACTCCATATAAAGTGCCAGTACGTAATCAAAATAGAAAAGAAAATTAAGATTTTAATACTAATCAAATCGCCTGTATGTACATAATATGTAGGGCTCCCAACCGTACTATTAATGAAATAATGAAAAAGAAAATGTGTACAATTTATTATATTTGTTATTTATCCAAAGTTCTATATTTAAATAACTTAAAAAATAAAAATTTATAAATGGCGGCAACCCTACTATAACTGCCACATTTTCCATTATATGATAAACAAAGTCACGACTAAATACACTTGTACAACTCAGTTACTGTACTATCAAATTGTATATTGCTTAATGAATACGTATTTTTTTTAAGTATACATATATATATATCAATGTCTACAATTTACAAAATGGTTTTTGCATCATATAAATACATGTCAACGGGTATAACATTTTATGTTTTACGTTTTTTTAATTACATAACCTATTTATACATGTGTAAGTTAAATAAACCACTTGTATATGGGATTTAGTTGGATTTACTTATGTCTGCAATTATCCATTTATTTCACCATTCCTTCTTTTGTTTTTCCTGTTAACTTTCTCTCTCTCACGGACACATCTATATTTCTCTTTCACGCAAGGTTCCACTTCATGCATCAGCCTATTCAATCCCCCTTGTATATACTTTAGTAAGAATAATAATAGCTTTTACTTATGTCTGCAATCTTCCATTTATTTCTTCGTCTCCATTCTACTGTTATTCGTTCTAATTCCTTCTTTTGTTCTCTATCTCTCTCTCTATTGCACACATCTATGTTTCTCTTTCACGCAAGCATTAACTTATCCAATCCCATATGTATATAAATGTCAGTTATAATGCATTTATAAGAGTGTTTTATAAATTATTTAGTAAATAGACAAGCGAAGGATTTTTTATGTGGAAAATGCATTTCTTATTTCTCTACAAATTATTTATGGAACTATAATACTTTTATATACATCTGAATAATATTTTTATACTATCAATTACATTTACACTGACTTGTTTACATTAATAAGTACTTATATTAGACATAATGGGTTTATAGTTATTTTTAAACATACGTGTATAATACAGATTTTTTTATATTTTTAACCGGGTTTTAACACGTATAATTTTATGGTAAATAAAGGTACTTACCTATCTTGACGTTTGGATTAGGTTGCGGTAGCGGTGGGTTACCGCTACCGCAACCAAGCCGACTCTTAGTCAAACGTCGTGAGAGGTAAGTAATTTTATTTACCATAAAATTATTCGTGTTTCGACCCGGTTAACAATATAAATAATGTATACCGTACATGTACACAAGCCGTAACCCACAGTTAAGTTATACGTAGTTACAACATTAATAAAACTGACCATTCACCAAGGAACATCAATTATGTGTATAAATATTAAGTATATAAAAACTCTTAACATTTCGAAAAAAAGTTTGAGAAAAATAAAGGACAAGAAAAAAGTCAACAATAACTTAAACTTTTACGTAATGTATATTGTTTTGAGTAAATTTTTAAATATATAATATTGGTTTATTCTGACTATGACTTTCTGACTATGTATGTTATGTATGTATTTAAGTATTTTTATCGATTGTCTAGTACCCATGATACTTAGCTTTTCATTTTAGGTCAATTTTAACATCGACGCAGATGGCGCTGTGTAAATTGTCCAGGGTTTATTATTATTTATTAATGTTACTTAGTTTTCTCGTAAACCATTTGTAGTAAAAATTTACAAATGTTTAATATAACATCTTTTAAGTAAAAAAAAAAAATCCAAAATCTTTTAGAAATAAAATTATTATTTGCTTTTAACAATGTTTTTTTGCATTTGAATGCCAAAATAATTATGATATATACAACATGGACGACTGTATTGGTATAAGTATGCTTTGCTAACCTCATTTTACCGTTTGTTGTGTAGCGCGATAGTTATCACTTCATCACTGTAGCGTATGAGGTGTCGCTACTTAATATATTTGTTTCCTGTAGTATTTAGGTGGTTAGTAGACAGGTCTAACAATTGAACTACATTAGTAACTATAGTGAGCTATATGGATTATAAGTAACGTGTACACTCAACGCGGAGTTGTAAAGTGGACTGACTACACTGAACTTAAATCTAAGTTATGTGGCGACATAAACTAATGGAAGGGTGCCGAGTGTTGACAGAAATATTACAAGTGTAGTCATAGTACTATAATTTTTTGACTTTTTTCTTACCTTTTTTTAGTTTTTGTTCAATAAGCATACAATTCTGATGCGTTAAGAGTTTTGACTATAACACACAATATCAAACGTAGGAAAGTATTTATTAATTATTCTTAAAATATATCCTTATACTAATTCGCTATTAAAGCAAAAGAAAGACTATAGAAAAAACAATCTTATATTTAAAAGTATGCGCTTCGTTCAGTCGAGATAAAAAGAAACGATTGAGATATAACGAACTAGTAACTAAAACTAACCGACAGCACACGAATGCTGTCAAATAAATAGTGTAAAATTATTCTAAAATAATATCCATTTATTTTTTTTTGTTTTCGTATAGCGATGTACTTTCTCAATCATTGTAACTATTGTTTAAATATAGGATGAAGTTAAAGGCCACTGTTTCAGACATTAAACTAATACTGACAGAATATACTGGATGGCATTTCATTGCCATTAGGAGAAAATTAGAGCATTGGATAAGATGAAACAATAACTTATCTTGGATAAGATAACGAACATACTGATGTTGTATAAAATTCATAAATATATATAAAACAACTTAGTTAATTAAAAAGCGACAGTTAATATAATAAAATGCGTTCTTATAAGCTCTATATAAATATATTTTGTAGATACATGTACTTCATAAATAGAATTGACCCCTGCAATCATAAATCAACTTATTAATAAACGGTCTAATGAAATTATATAAATATTATGTTTAAAACTATTTTTTTTTTCAAACTAAGATGTTAGAACAGCAATATTTGGAAGAAAGTGTCCAAAAATGGGTAATAGTTAAGTAATTAACATAACAAACAATTAGTAATTCTTTTAATTGTAAATATGTTTAAAACTATTTATTTTTAACTGGAAAAATTGGAAGAAAGTGTTAAAAAAATAGATAATAGTTAAATAATTCATATAACAAAAAATACTATTTATTTTTTTAATTGATAATAAAATAAATTTGTATAATATTTTATTATCGTAAATAAAATAGTTGTAACCTAATTTTAGCTATTTAAATATATCATAAATATATTTTGACTTTTATAACTTTGGCAATAATTTATATTGAATTTGTTTGTGTTTAATTGAATATGGGGGTAACATATTGTAACATATTGTAATTGTAATTATTGTTTCCTGAATAAACTTGTTTTAAATATAATTCAGCTATTTATTATTATTTCTATAATACACTCAATGACAGTTTCAACTGTAAGTAAATTAAAAAAAAATGTTTTTTTTATATCAATTCAGTATGCGATATAAAAAGGAAAATTTCAATTCTAGAAGAATCTAGAATTCCCTATCACATCTACCTAAAATATTGGGTACTAGGAACCTAGTGTACCTACTAATTCACTTTCAAGTCTTAAATTATTAGGAATCACGCAAATAAATTCATATTACTACAGATATAATTGCATTATCTATACAGATAAATAAAATTGAAGAATCTGTTTGTAATTTCAAATTAACAGGTTTTTACGAACTGCATATGAAAGTATATATGGTCATACATCATAAAATAAATTTAAAATAATTTTGTGAGTGTTTAAGCGTAACTCTACACAATGGCCTAGAGGAGAGGCTAAATGCAGAGAATAGAGTCCATCGATCCCCTGTTTAATTCAAACGGGGATCGAAATTACGACGGCCTGAGCGAAGGTTCGAAACCCTAACGGTGCCCTCAGAGTAAAGTCGTATCCGTCAGGCGGGAGTTGGCCTTCAGCCGCTCCATAAGTCCTTCCTTCCATCTGCACTCGCTCCCTATCGTCCAGCTGTACAGGCCTACAGCATTAGAGTAGTCCGAAAAAAAATATAACAAAAAAGTCATACTACATTACAAGTGTGTAACCGTGAAAATACTTTAAATTCATTACAATAGATTTGTATAAAAATTTAAAATGAATATATATATTTTTTATATTAATTTTCAAAGAGTTCTTATTATATATTATGTAATAATTAATATTCAATTAGTTAACGGCAGCACAATTAGGGAATGAATACATTGAATAAAATATATTTAAAGCCAACAAACTATTATGAAATATATTGGCTAAATAACCGTTTTCACAAGCCGTCAATTAAATTCGATTTGTGGAAGTATGAATAGTTGTCTATGGATATATTCGGACTCTTGCATGTAAACGTTAGTAGTTATTGACGACCTCGGTGGTCCAGCGGTCTAGTACACCGCTTTACGACCGATGGTCGCGGGTTCGATTCCTCGCACGGCACAAACATTTGTATACATGAGTATGATTGTTTGTATCGGTCTGGGTGTTTTCTATATATAATATGTATGTATTTACAAAAAAAAAAATATCTATGTATTTGTATCAGTTATCTAGTACCCATAACACAAGCTTTAGCTAGCTTAACTTGGGTCTAGAAGGCGCTTTGTGAATTGTCCAAAAAAAAAATATATACACATAATATAAGATATACAGATGTTTAGATATGTATTTATATATGGTAAATAAATGTATATTATTAGCTATTTATTTATACATATTTGTATGTGTATTCTCCATTATATAATTTATTTATATTTGCTCCGTAAATAATTATTGTCTGTCACCCCTGGTTGACTGATTGATAATGCGGCATGGTGATAAGTTCACCATATGTAAAATTATATGTTTTGATTTTATATGCATTGAAGGTATATAAATAAAAAAATCTGTTAAAAACCAAACTTTTAAAACAAAAATACACCACGTCTATGATAGTAGAACATATTTTCTGCAATGGTCTAATACAAATGTAATAAAATACACTGAATTATATATTTTTTTGTGAATATATTAAAATAATATGAAACAATTGTCCATCTGTCAGTATGTATGTAGATGTACCTTATAAAAACTAAGGCATGAAATTAAATGCCTAATTTCTCCAATGTATAGAAAAAGATATATGTAAACTATATCTTGCAAAAGCTACTCCATGGAAATGAATGTGATTTTTGCCAATATACTGACGTGAAGTTTTAGTTATAGGCTCCATTTTAACATAGGAAAAAATAATTCCAACGAAGGAGTTGCTAGTCTAGAAATAAAATCCTATTTTGAGCCCCTTACCTATATTACATATTTTTGGGATTCATTCAGTGCCTAAATGTGGTATTACCATAAGCAAATAACTTTCGAATGTCCATCCATATAGCCTCTTTCACAATGTTGTTATTTACTTCATTAAAAAATTAAATAAATAAATAAATAACAGTAAAAAATTCGATTCATCTAATAAGTATCGATGTGCCAATATCATATAGTAAGTTCATTAATATACATATTTTAACATAATAAATTTTTGGTATAAACATTACAATAATTGTGTATGTATTTATAAGTACATAAATATGTATATAAATACATATATTTATATATTTAGCCGGTTTATAAAGTGACAATTTCGGTAAAAACTTCGACGTCAGCACGAAAAAAGCACCATATAAATATATTTTCAATCAAAAGCATGCTAAAATTATTTATTACATGTCTGAATATATTTATAATTTTATTAATATTGTAATAAAATACCGTATAAAAACGATACTGGGACTAGTAAGTAGCGCGAGAACTAAACCTCTTATTGATCAAAAGCTAATATACTAATTTTACCTACTAAATTGACTATTAAGTCTGTTTGTCATTTAGTTTGAAATTATTTTTTGTCTTATTGATAAATTGGCCCAGGCGCTATAGACGATCATAGGTTTTTTATGTAACTAACATTAGCAGCATTTATATATATTATACGATACATTCTTTCACGCGTCATTTTGCGCGAGAATCCAACGCGCGCAATCATGGAGCTTGCATTTGACTATCTTTTAAAATTATATTTTTTATTAAAAAAAATATTCTAGAAAAACGTTTACGATTTATTTTCTATCAATAACTCTACGACTGCTTCTACTCCATGGTCAGAGTCCGCCATTTTGTAATGATAATTAGACATTACAAAAAGGCGCTAAAGCACGCACGATTGCAGAACACAATTTGCGCCCTCGATTTTTCTCGTTCCCTTTGTCTACGTTTACATGCACATTCTTTCCTGCGTGAAGGCAGATACACGCGTGAATGAGCGTACGTGTAAAGGTAGCTAATGACAAAACATTATTACAGTAAAAATAGTTTAAGTCGACATTTTTTACAAATAAGAGATTTTAGAAAAATTGTCACAGTGTAAACACAGCCTATCTTGTGCATAATGCACTTCATCAGATGTGAATTAGACTTACACTAACAATTGCGTATACACAAGTCGTAGATGGACTAGTTGACAATTAGCGATACGCGATTAATACTAATCACTCGATTCCGACAATCATTCGAATCATTCGATTCTATCGGAACGTTATCCGACTAGAAACTACCAACCTAATGTAATTAGTGTTCCTCCATGCTCGAGTTGATACGATTATGAATGGCATTGATTCATTGGACGTAGACTTAACCTATGTAACGAATTACTCATTAGTAATTCGATTATCAGCAATCGCAATAACTTTACCTATCGAATCGCATTAACCTTAACGATACGAATAACTCAGATTCTCGCATCGCCAATATGATTACATCTATCTCTGTCGCACGTACCGTTCTCGCTGAATCCGTCTTTTTCACTCGTCGTCGGATGGTTCCGTGCCGAAGTACCGGTCGCCGAAGTTGCCGATGCCGGGTAATACGTAGAATTTCTCGTTTATCTCCGGGTCTAGCGCTGAGGTTATGATTTTGACCTGTTGAATTTGGTGATGGTTATTTTCGTTAAATACAACGAGTTCAACTACGAGTTGTAATACTGATCTGTGTTACAGTTTACCAGCATACACAACAGCTCAAATGTAACTTTTCAATCCGGTAATAGGAGAATCCATTAGGCATGCAACGCATATTTATATTTTGAGAAAATACTATGCATATATAACTAATATTATATGTACAATATATATTATGAAATATATAGAAAGTTTGTTGGATGTTGGAGTAAGAAATGTGGACTAATTACATCATGTACTAAGTAAGTAAGATTAAAGTCCACGCGGTTTCCCCTGGTAAGCACCTTAATAAATTGCTGGTGAATTTGTCACAATGGGCTAACCTAACCTGACCTCATACTCATCCTATCTATGAGCATTTCTTTTCTTAACATTTATTATTATTATTTACGGGCCTAGTACGCTTTTACTGCGCCCATCTGGCTGCCGTGTGAAGGGTCCATAACCAGTGGGATCCAGAGAGTGGGGGGTTGGCACCTTGGGGAAGGCGTAGGCGATGGTGTGCACGCCGATCTCGGCCATGAGCAGCGACACGAGCGAGATGTGGTGCTCGGGCACGTCGTGGTCGAGCAGCACGCGCACCGCCATCAGCGCGGCCGCGCCCGTCGCCACCGTCGCGTCCATCAGCACCACGCGGTAGTCCTTGATGTCCTTCGGCAGCCGCAGGTAGTACAGCTGCCGAACAAACAAACGTTCGGTCTCGGTGCTCTAGTGGCACGAGCTACCACCATCACACACTATCGTGCTACACAACGTTCCGTCTCGGTGCCCTAGTGTTATCTACCCGCGACAATATATATGTACGAAGTGTACCATATACCATGGGGTAGTCCCTGATATCCTTTGGCAGAAGCAGGTAATACAACTGCAGACGCTTGCTCGTATTTAAGTTAATATTGGTAACCCGTCACAAGAGGCTGTTAATCTAATTACTCGGGGTTATTGTCCCAGCAGTTGATTCCGGGGCAAAAGGTTTAACCTCGAGATCCCAAACTTCACCCCCCTAAGGGGATGCAAAAAACCTGTGTCAATTAACGCTCCGTCTCGATGCTCTAGCTACTATCAGACACAAAACGACCGGATGGATAATGTGGATGACCAATATCAGTCAAAGCTCCATTAGCGCCATCTGCCGTGTGTTTTCCTAGCCTATATAGTTGTAGATTTTGGGTTTTACTCCGCGTATTCTGCATCCCACATCATCTATTTTGAATCCGTTTGAGAACCTAACCAGGTCTTGATCTCAGTTAGTCGCTTCAGCAGGTAGTTCAGGCTACTGATAGCCCACATTATAAATTTCTTACAAACTAAACAAACATCATTGCCTTGCTTGTATTCTATTATTTGTGGTCGGCGCAATATATCACCATCTTCCACTGATCCATATCGGATTATCCTCTCCTTTTATTCATATCATCTTTCGCACAATCACATCATTTTTTGATTGTCCTTTCCCTTTCCATCCATCCACGTTCATATTATATACTTTCTTTAAGACATGATCCTCGCTCCTCCACATAACATGCCCATACCAAGTCAATCTGTTACCTCTCATTTGTTTATAACTGGCACAACTTTCAAACTTCCTCATATATACACTTTACTTGCATACACCTGTCTCAACATTCGCATTTCTGTCACATGCACACGCCTTTCGTCCGTCCCCTTTACGGCTCAACATTGAGATCCATACAAAATGATAGATTTTATATCAGATTTATTACCCTTTAGCTTTAAGGACATTCGGGGGTAGCATATTGTTTCTGAAGGCTGTCGCCATTTAATCCGTCTGGCACTAATTCTGTGCCTTACATCACGGTCTATGTCGGCATTGTTCTGAATAACTGAACCGAGGTATAGACTTAACATACATCTATACTGTTCAAAATCTACCCTGTATCATCGTAAGCACAGATATTATATTATATTAGAGTCCGTTAGTTTTCTGTTCCCGCGCGTTCCTTTCCCCTCCCTAACTAGTAACAAACGGACTGTACAGCGGCCTTGACGCGCGCGCGCATTGTGTTGTGAATTAAAATAAATTAGAACTGTGTTAACCTACTGTGAAGCTGGAAAGCTAGCGAAGATACCTTCGAGACCCTGAAGCCCGAGAAATCCGCAGAACCATAAAGGTAAATGACTGACGCTTCCCTAACATTTTGGTAGCAGAGTAGTTTCCCAAACATATACTAATATTATAAAGCTGAAGAGTTTGTTTGTTTGAACGCGCTCAGGATCTCCTGGTTGGAGTTGAAAATTCTTCTTTTGTGTTGGATAATCCATTTGTCGAGGAAGGCTTTAAGCAGTATAACATTATGCTACAACAAACAGAAGCCAAGCATCAGAGAAAATTGTTGCAAAAACGGGGAAAATTAAATTCACATTTGAGGGCTTCCAAAGTCGCGAGCACAGCTAGTATCAAATATAAATTGTCTCTGGTCACAAAAATCTGCCACAGTAGTGGCAGTTACAGATATTAGTACGTATATAGATATACTAATGTGTATACACTTACCTCTGGCTCGTCAGTTTGTTGGTTGGTCTGTATGAGGATCTTCCCTATGCGTATATCCTTGCAGACGTCGCACACGGCCTGCTCCATGGTCTCCCCGGCTCGGAGGATGGACACGCCGCAGATCTTCTCCACGTCGCACTTACGACCTGACCAAAGATTAGGAGAATGAAACTAGCTGTTAGTCGTGACTTCGTCTGTTTTCTTAGAGATAATTAGTAATTACGATGTGACCAATGATTCAAACTAGCTGTTAGCCGCGACTTCGTCTGCTTTCTTAGAGATAATTACGATCTGACCAATGATTCAAACTAGCTGTTAGCCGCGACTTCGTCTGCTTTCTTAGAGATAATTACGATCTGACCAATGATTCAAACTAGCTGTTAGCCGCGACTTCCTCTGCTTTCTTAGAGATAATTACGATCTGACCAATGATTCAAACTAGCTGTTAGCCGCGACTTCGTCTGCTTTCTTAGAGATAATTACGATCTGACCAATGATTCAAACTAGCTGTTAGCCGCGACTTCGTCTGCTTTCTTAGAGATAATTACGATCTGACCAATGATACAAACTAACTGTTAGCCGCGACTTCGTCTGCTTTCTTACAGGTAATTACGATCTGACCAATGATTCAAACTAGCTGTTAGCCGCGACTTCGTCTGCTTTCTTAGAGATAATTACGATCTGACCAATGATACAAACTAACTGTTAGCCGCGAGTTCGTCTGCTTTCTTAGAGATAATTACGATCTGACCAATGATTCAAACTAGCTGTTAGCCGCGACTTCGTCTGCTTTCTTAGAGATAATTACGATCTGACCAATGATACAAACTAACTGTTAGCCGCGAGTTCGTCTGCTTTCTTAGAGATAATTACGATCTGACCAATGATTCAAACTAGCTGTTAGCCGCGACTTCGTCTGCTTTGTTACAGATAATTACGATCTGACCAATGATTCAAACTAGCTGTTAGCCGCGACTTCGTCTGCTTTCTTAGAGATAATTACGATCTGACCAATGATACAAACTAGCTGTTAGCCGCGACTTCGTCTGCTTTCTTAGAGATAATTACGATCTGACCAATGATTCAAACTAGCTATTAGCCGCGACTTCGTCTGCTTTCTTAGAGATAATTACGATCTGACCAATGATACAAACTAGCTGTTAGCCGCGACTTCGTCTGCTTTCTTAGAGATAATTACGATCTGACCAATGATTCAAACTAGCTATTAGCCGCGACTTCGTCTGCTTTCTTAGAGATAATTACGATCTGACCAATGATTCAAACTAGCTATTAGCCGCGACTTCGTCTGCTTTCTTAGAGATAATTACGATCTGACCAATGATTCAAACTAGCTGTTAGCCGCGAGTTCGTCTGCTTTCTTAGAGATAATTACAATCTGACCAATGATTCAAACTAGCTATTAGCCGCGACTTCGTCTGCTTTCTTAGAGATAATTACGACCTGACCAATAATTGAAACTAGCTGTTAGCCGTCACTTCGTTTTGTTACTTAGAGATAAAGTATTGCCTATATCCGTGCATATTATTCAATGTATCTTCACGAACTTCAATAAGAGCCAATCAGCTGTTTAGTTGTGAATTTCCTAATGTACTAACTAGCGGTTAGCCACGACTTCGTCTGCTTTCCTAGAGATAGTTTGTAGTTTGTATTCACACGTTTCGACTTGAAAATGTAAACTTACATGGATTATTTAAAAGAACAACACACAAGTTTCTTGCTCGTTCTTCTTGTGATGAGACAGCTTTCCGAACGAGTGGTAGATAGGCGGAACAAATTGTTATGACTATTCAAAAGTGCTTAAATTAAGTTTATTTGAATAAATAATTTTCTATTCTATGCTATTCTATCCATAATACAAGCTTAGCTTGGTCTAGATGACGTTGTTTGTAAAAAAAAAAGTATTATAAAAACTTTTTCAGAAGTTATGAGCGATACATACATACCAACCAGTCAAAATCAAAACCAATTTGCGTCACTGTAATGGGAGAAGGCATACCTGTATATGTAAATCCTTGCGGTGTGTCGACACCGTGAGGGGAGTATGGTAGCAGTGATAGAGCGAACTCTATGACAAGACGCATCAGCCTCTTCGAGTAGAAGATGAACTCGTCGCGGGGCGTGTCCTTGTTTCTGATGAACGTGTGGAGACCTTGCACCTGCAATGAGGACCAGGGGAGAGGATGAATTAAGATGGGGATATAAATGGAAGTTCTGCTGACAGAATTAAAGTACATTTGCTCCTACTAAATCCCATATGTATGTAAGAGCGGATATTGTTACCAGATAACTCATCGTTACGATAATTAAATAATAAACACTTTTATCAAATTCTAGAGATGTATTCAGTGCAAGGGTTACACACAGAAAGAGAGTTATTAAATTTTTTTTTCGGACTACTCTGATACTGTTGGCCGAAGCTGGCCTTTGCAGCTTCACCGGACGTTAGGGGCGAGTGCAGATGACACTCCAAACCCGCGGAAGGACTTATAGAGCGGCTGAAGGCAAACTCCTGTCTGACGGATACGACTTTAGTCTGAGGGCACCATTAGGGGTTCGGACCTCGGCTCAGGCCGTCGTAATTTCGATTCCCGTTTGAATTGGACGGGGGATCGATCGGAGGGGCACCGGTGTGGAGCGCCCGGGCGCGCGCAGGCGCCCGGTTGAATGCGCGATATTGTGTGTTTGAGGTCGTCGTCTTCGCCGGCGAGGACGGTGTCGTGTGTGTGTAAAAGTGTCGTCGGGGTGGGAGTTATTCAATTACCGACCTCCGTATTTATAGACTGAAGTCAGTGTAGTAGGGAGAGAAGCAGGCGTAACGAATATCTTATGACAAACAACTTAGTTCGGTCTATAAGTACTAGATGGCGCTATTTACAATATTTATAATAATCCTTAACTTTAATACTTCATTATGTTAAACATTAAATAACAGTGATTTGATCAAAATAGGCCGAATATAATTAAATTAATCAATTAACAATGAAAACAGTCATTGTATTGAGTTTGCGCTATCATGTATGTTAATTATCGTGTGAGGTACAATTAATTAAAATGGTAAAATGATGATTAAAATGATAAATACATGATTATTGATCATGTTTCTTTATCTAAGGCAGGGCTTCCTAAAATTAAGAACAAGTACAGGTCAAACAGGCCTATGTCCAGCAGTGGACGTCTTCCGGGCGGCGATGATGATGATGACAGGTCAAACATAGATTAATATATATATATAATATGATAACTTAGAAAAAGAAATGAAAGTAGCACACCCTTTACATTAACCAACCAGTCACATAAATATCTCTTCTTATTTTTCTGCTTATGTTTTGATTTCGTTCTAATTTTCTAATAAACATTATAAATGTTCTAATAATATTTTTCTGTTAACCTATTACTAGGCTAGGGCTACAATTGGTAAGTATTATTGGGGGCTAAGTTGAGGGGCGTCAAAAAAAATAGGAATTGGGAGTTTCCTATTTTTTTTTATATATCCTATTTTGGGCGTTATAATACGAATAAGTTTGGGAAACCCTGATCTAAGGCATTCAGAGTAACCCGAAACGGAACGGCAGAGGACAAAGCCTAAATAATCTTTGTAACATTGACAAGTAGATTGATGACTGAACTGACGTAACGACGAATGCTGGAGCGTTTGTTATTATAAAACAAATAAGAGAAATATCATTGTGAATATAGTAGCCATTGGGAGGTATTAGTTGGGACTGGGAGGATACCACAAGTAGTGAAGGTGAGTGTTAATGCATTTTAAAAGGACCCTTTAAACCTACACCCGTGTCACAAGTCACGGGCACTACTTGGGGTATCTCTCCCTGGTCAATTGGTATCGAACCTAAGTCGTCATGATAACTAGTGATTTTAACATGTATGATGTACAGATAATTCCGTGGAAAGTCTTATGCTTATCAGCCGTTACATAAGACCATATTGTTCCTCATTATCTCCACCAGGATGGAGTTGTCTGATAAGACAAATGGCGGGCGGAAAACTTTAATATAATATTTAATAATTTCGTTTATATTACCTGTGGAGTATCTTCTAGAACGTAGAGTGAGTCCGGTACGGGCTGTCCCACGTGAGCGACGGCTAGCTTCTCTCTGACTTTAAAACCGCGCTGAAATCAATTATTATATTTATAGTTAATTGATACATAGTAAGAATTAACCTTACTATTATATTAAATACAAATATATACACCTATCCAGGCGTTTTATCTTTCTCTCACTCACTCACACACAAATATCTTCCTGCGACAATGCTACCTGTTCAAATTGTAAAAATATCCTGATCAATTAACTCATAAGTACACCATAATATGGACACACACACACACGGGCACTAACAAATACATGTAGGTACATGTTATTCCTATCATATTTTGTCATGTACTTATTACTATTTTTTTTTTAGTGGATGATAATGAAATGTTGCACCCGCCTGCGCTAACGGTTTACGCTGGCGGAACACCAGTGGAGGATGATAAGATGAACATGAAGTCAGATCAGTTAGCCCAACGTGACAAATTCACCGGGAATTTATCACGATGGTTTCCAGGGGGAACCTCGTGGAAGTCGACCTGACATGGTAATTTGCTAGCAATGGGATCATTAGTACACATTACTAACAATCCCCTCCAATAGTGCGACCGTGCCAGGATTACTTATTACTATTAGAATTCACATCATTATTGTAGAAAAAATCCGATATTTTAAAAATATACTAAAAGAAGGTAGTTTGTTTTTAGTACTAATGAAGTACCCAATGTAAGGATTATTACGAATATTGTAAATAGCGCCATCTAGTATTTATATACCAACCTACTACACTGACTTTGGTCTATAAATACGGAGGTCGGTAGTTGAATAATCCTCTTTCGTTGCGTGAGCCGCGGCATTCAGTCGACGAGCGCAGAGTGTGCCAGTTGTGTTTTAGATATTAAAGTGAATTGTATTAGCAACGGGTTTATCCCGGTCTTAGTAGGGCCTGGGGGGAAGCTGCAAGTAGTGAAGGTGAGTGTTAATGCATTCTAAAAGGGCCTTTTAAACCTACACCCGTGTCACAAGTCACGGGCGCTACTTGGAGTTTCCCTTGCGGTAGCCGGCTTCAAAGCCACAGTCGTCCTTCATAATTAGTGCTTCTTACATTACTATTATATAAATGCAAAATTATTATCATTTCTGATCATCGTACCAATATTACTTTGACGATACATACTTAGCCTAGTGTGAGGTCATAGATAAAATATTAATTAAGTTATGTTTTCCAAAATCATTCTACGTTTATAATATAATAATAATAAACTTTATTGGTCAATAAAACACTTATACATTTAATACACATTACGGCGAACCACACACTAGACATGCAAGTCTGTATCGTGTGGTTCAGAGGATATCATTACACATAATTGAAATGTTAGGTGTATAATAAGTCTGCTTATATATACTCACCAGCTGCAGCTGTTTATGTACGTGCTGCACTATGAGGTGTATGGCGACCTTGTTGTCTCCCCCGCGAGGTACTATGATGTCTGCGTGGGCCATGCACGGCGCTATGTAACTCTGGTAGGCAGGCTTCACGTGTGTCATATACTGCTTCAGTACTCCCTCCAGGTCACGGCCGCGCTGCACTATATCCCTGATAACATTATACATAGACAGGGTATACCAACCCGCAAGGATATGAAAGTTCGTTACGATGTGCGTAACAAACATTTGTTGTACAACTTGATGGCCTTGGTGGTCAGCGGTTTTAGCACACCGCCTTACTATCGATAGTCGCGGGTTCGATTCCTCGCACTGCACAATAATTTGTATTCATGAGTATGACTGTTTGTATCAGTCTGGTTGTTTTCTATAATATGTACGTATTAAAAAAAAAACTATGTATTTGTATCAGTTCTCTAGTACCCACAATACAAGCTTTAGCTAGCTTAACTTGGGTTTAGATGGCGCTGTATAAATTGTCTTAAAAAACCTCTCCCTGAAACCATATATATGTTTCAGGGAGATATAAATATAGAACCCATGATCATTGGAAGTAAGACGGCAATTTAAAAAGCTAAAACGCAGAATGTAGCCAGTATATTATGTTAAGTTCAGTCGCATTCAAGCCGTGCTAGTTAATGGTTATGTTACTCAGATACTCCATTATAAAAAGTAAATAAAGTTCAGAGTCCAGTGTTTTATGTTGAAGATTGCATTTATTAGTAAGTGCAGTGATTATATATCCATCCCACTCATAGTTGAACCTGTGTCATATGCGTGAAAAAGAACGATGTTGAGGTCACCAAGCAAGCAGTATCATTCAAATCCCGACCTTGTCGCTGCTAAAATCACCGAGACGCCGTTTAGAAAAAGGAAAAGATCAGAAAATGACTTATCTTTTACTTTGGAAAAATTGGGAAACACACTTTCCAACAAGATGGATAGTATGATTGCCGAGTTACGAACAGAGTTTGTAAATAACATTACTTTATTAAATGAGAACATTAACACAAACATAAAAAATGAATTAATTAATCTTAGTACCGCAGTGTTACAGATAAAGAGTGAAGTTAATGAGTTGCGTACTGAATACACCAGTATGCAAACAAATATTTCGAATTAGAACAGCAAATATAATGTTCTTAGTGACGAATTATCTGCATTGAAGGATTCGCTTGAGTTTCAATACAAGGAGTACTCTGATATGAAGGTATGCATTGAAAACTCGAAACTATCGTCTATGGCTGATTATGCAGATAAATTATGTAACCTGCAAAATAAAATCGACATCATGGAACAACAATCACGTCAAAATAACTTAGAAATATGTTTTGTACCCGAAAAACGCGGTGAGAATCTAATTATCTTATTTGAATCAATTACGACAGTGATTAAATACCCAATAGAACGCAAGGACATACTAGCTATTCATCGGGTACCACATGCCCGTTCTGATGAAAATAATCGCCCAAAAAATATTATAGTGAAAGTGTCATCGCGTTACCTTCGGGATAATATACTGAGTGCGTTCCGCTTATCCAAGGGACTTAAGACTGACGATCTGAATATTGTGGGTAACTCACGGAAAATATACATAAACGAACATCTTACATTACAAAACAAAAAGTTGTTTCGAGATTGTCGTGAAGCTGCTAAGTTGCATGGATATAAGTTTGTGTGGATCAAAAATGCCACTATACTGGTTCGTAAATCGGAGACGTCGCCAATATTCGCGATCAGGTCTCAGAGTGAAATTGGAAAAATTAATAAACTTAAAGGACAAACAACTAGTTCTAATTAAATTTTCGCTAACAATAACTATGTATTCATGTATAGGTATTTATTTATTTTTCTACCGAAAACTATGTGACAATAACACCTGCAATATTAATATTAATTACACCTGTATTCACCAGGGTCATTGCACTCTATGTTTACTTTATAATGGCATGGGTATTTGCGTCGTATTGGATAGCCCTCCTCGTATTAGTACTAAATATATACTTTACTTATTAGTTACGATACCAATTGCTCATAATTTTAATTTATATGTAAAAATAAAAGCAAAATGGCTGCAATCTATATGCGACTCATTATCATATCTTGCGTTCCATCACAACATGCTTAACCGGACTTCTAATATAATAATCGCCGTCTGTCTATTTTTCATCACGTCAGTCTACTTACGGGGTAGGCAAAGAACATTATGTCCTAGCATTCAACTCTTGTCCCAATCACTTTTATGTAAGAAATTAAGTAAGGTGATATACCTTTGGTTGTGTGTATTGTGGCCTGTACGCATAAATATTACATTTAAAATAATCTGCCTGTTTTTAAAGTGGCGCACGACACTGTGACTTCATTATTCTATCAGAACTGTAGAGGGATTCGTACCAAACTTCAAATACTATACATGAATATTCTGTCGCATTCATATGATGTAATTATACTGACTGAGACATGGCTCACTCCACACATTGCAAATAATGAGTTTATTGACGATCGGTACGTAACGTTCCGTTGTGATCGCAACCGTTCCTTAACTAGTAAACAAGACGGCGGCGGAGTCTTGATTGCAGTGAGGCGTGATCTGCGCCCAGTCAGTGTCACTACTGACTGCGCTGTTGGCATCGAGCACGTCATCGTTGCGCTCCCGACCGACCCACACAATAGTAAACAGCATATTATCAGTGCTGCCTACATACCGCCCCGAACGGTGGACCATGCTTATTTAACACATTTTAATACACTGCGTGATATCGTGATGCGAGACGGAGTTGATTCATTTCATGTGTTGGGCGATTACAATCTGTCACATATCAATTGGATATGCAATGACCGCAATACTGGTATGGTGAGTATGGGGAGTGGTGATGTGTGTTCATATATATGTGATTTTATGGCATATACTGATTCATTTCAATACAACAACATATTAAATCAAACTGAAAGAGTACTTGACCTGTGTATATCGAACATGTCCACTGATAATTTGATGCCATGTATACCTTTGTTACCGCCTGACAAATATCACCCGCCTTTTGCGGTGTTCATGTCATTGAATACACATTTTACTCCTATGAAACATAACCTGGCTATTAAATATAAATATAATTCAGCCAATTATGACACTATAAATGAAGAGCTTTTTAAAATAGACTGGGAACTAATTTTACGTGGTCTTAGTGTCAATGAATCGGTAGACCAATTTTATAATATTATTTACACAATCATAAGAATGCACATTCCCACTACACGCCGTATGTCTACACGTTACCCTGTTTGGTTTTCTCCTGCATTAATTCATATATTTAAAAATAAAGAGAAGGCGTGGAGAAAATGGAAACAATATAGTAATATAATTGATTATGAGTTATTCTCTAAATATCGCTCTAGATTTAAATCTGAGAGTAAAAAATGTTACTTTGGTTATATTAATCGAGTGGAAGATGGGATTAAAACTAATGTTAAATATTTTTGGACTTATATGTCAAACTGCAAAAATACTTCCACAATACCGGCCACAATGCATTACGAGAATTCATCTGTATCAGAACCTACAGAAATATGTAATGCATTCTCTTCCTTTTTCAATTCATCTTTTGAGCCGTCAACATTGAATCTTAAGGAATGGCATCCGAAAACTTCTTTTGCCAATAATTGTGATATTATAAATGATATCGAATTAAACCTTAAAATGATATCGAAAGGATTAAGTGACCTAGATATCTCCAAAGGACCAGGTCCAGATGGAATACCTGTAATTTTTCTTAAGTCTACAGCTAACGCTTTATCTAGGCCTCTACACATTTTATATAATAGATGCCTAAGACAGGGTATTTTTCCTACATTATGGAAACATGCTCATATAACACCAGTGCATAAAAGCGGAGATAAACACAATATTGAAAATTACCGACCAATATCTATTCTTTCTATATTGGCAAAACTATTTGAGAGCTTAATACATAATGTTATTTATCCTAGTCTCCATCGTGGTATTATGTGTGAACAGCATGGTTTTGTTAAGCGTCGATCGACTATAACTAACCTTATGATTTTTACTAATGATCTATTTGAAAATATGGATAGTCGATTGCAAACTGACGTTATTTACACTGATTTTAGAAAATGTTTTGATAAGGTAGATCATGAACTACTTCTCAATAAAATAGCTTATAACGGCATTCGAGGTGACCTGCTGAGATGGTTCTCATCTTATATATCAGGCAGAACACAGACAGTAGTCGTCAATGGTTTTAAGTCAGATATAGTCAATGTATCATCTGGGGTTCCACAAGGTTCTATCCTTGGACCTTTATTATTTGTTCTATTCATCAATGATGTAAAAAATTGCTTTCTAAATTCAAGTTTTCTGATGTATGCGGACGATTTAAAGATTTACAAAGTTATTAGAAATTTTGATGATCATATCCAACTTCAACAAGATTTAGATAGATTTTCTCACTACTGCATCAATAATAAGCTGCAACTTAGTCTTACTAAATGCTGCAACATAAGTTTTACAAAAAAGAAATATAAATTTAATTATAACTATAAATTATTAGATACTGATTTGAAAACCGTTACATTAGTCAAAGATTTAGGTATTTTATTGGACTCAAAGTTGCACCTCGATGAACATATAAACTCAATTAAAGATCGTGCAATGAGAATGTTTGGCTTTGTTATGCGATCTTCTTGTGACTTTAAGCGACCCTCTACACTTCTATTTCTCTATAAATCTCTTATAAGATCCCAACTGGAATATGCGACCCCTGTTTGGAGTCCGGTATTTAACAAATATATAGAGATGTTGGAGAAAGTACAAAGTAAATTTTTACGAACAATTGATTTTAGATGTTGTCGCCTCAGGCTATCGTACACACAACTATTAGACAAATACAGGATGCTGTGTTTGGAACGTAGACGAATTTTGCTTAATACTATGACCCTGTATAAAATTTGTGCAAATACATTTGATTGTACTGAGTTAACTAATAAGCTGTGCTACGTGGTACCAACCAGTGTGCACCGTCGTTCGGTAAGGGTACGCCGTGTATTCTTCACCCCAACCTATCGGACGTACGCCGGTGCACGAGCGCCTCTTCACCATATTGTTGATGTATTTAACACCAAATTTCCTGATTTAGATATATTTGATTTGTCATACTTTAAATTTAAGAAAACCCTATTAGACATATTAAGTAGAAACCAGTAAATAAATAATGTATATAATAATAAGAGTAACATAACATAAGTATTAACCCGTGGATATCTGTATTGGTTTTACTATTATTAATTCATATCTATGTACTTATATACATACTACATTGTGAAACTGTTTGTATCCCAAATAAAATAAAATAAAAATAAAATAAAAAGTCTGACCTCCTCAACCGCCTGCCGAGTCGTATGTCCGCGTCTGTATCCACAAACACCTTCATGTCCAACAGTCTCACAACATCCAAGTTGTAGAAGGCCAGAATACCCTCGAATATTATCACGTTTGCACCGTACATTGTTTTCTGGAAACCAAAATTCAAATCAAATCAAAATAAAATACAGATTCTTATGATATGTCAAATAAACCAATAATCAAATCAAAATATCTATATTCATGTAAGTCTATTACAGATTCTTATGATATTATTATGTCAAATTTACCGTCTGAAAAAATCAGTGTATATTTGTTTTCTGAAAACCAATAATCAAATCTAATCAAAATATCTTTATTCATGTAGCTCTATTACAGACTCTTTTGATATGTCAAATCTACCGTCCGCCAAAATCAGTGTGTTTGTTTTCTGAAAACCAATAATCAAATCTAATCAAAATATCTTTCTTCATGTAGCTCTATTACAGACTCTTTTGATATGTCAAATCTATCGTCCGCCAAAATCAGTGTTTGTTTTCTGAAAACCAATAATCAAATCTAATCAAAATATCTTTATTCATGTAGGTCTATTACAGACTCTTATGATATGTCAAATCTACCGCCCGCCAAAATTAGTGTATGTTTATTTTCTGAAAACCAATAATCAAATCTAACCAAAATATCTTTATTCATGTAGCTCTGTTACAGACTCTTATGCTACCGTCCGCCAAAATTAGTGTATGTTTATTTTCTGAAAACCAATAATCAAATCTAATCAAAATATTCATGTAGCTCTATTACAGACTCTTATGATATGTCAAATCTACCATCCGTTAAGATATTTCAGATCAGATAATTCATTTAAATGATAAGTTAGAACATTATTAAGTTTTTCTTGTCAAAGATTTGCTTCACGTATTGAAATTATGTTAATTTTTATAATTTATTCAATTTAGTAAGAACGATAGCACGATAAAAACGAAGATAAGTTATTTAACATTTTACAGGCAGTCCTCGAGCAAGCCATAAGTACAAGGACTGCCTGTAATTTGAGTATATTTATACATGTATGTGTTTGCAAGGAGTTTAAGTCCTAACTTTTATACATTGTAAATAAACTCGCTTCAAAAAAATATTCAATTGAATTTCTTGTCAGTTCTCCTCAATTAATCTTATATATAAAATTCTCGTGTCCCCATACTCCCATACTCCACCAAAACGGCTTCACCGATTCTCATGAAATTTTGTGAGCGTATTGAGTAGGTCTGAGTATCGGGCAACATCTATTTTTCATTCCCCTAAATGTTAGGTGTAGTCCACCCCAAATTTTTTTTAAGGCAAAACAACGTTTTAGGGATAGCTAGTTAGGTATAAAAATTTACAATAAGATACCAAAGGATATGTTGGAATTACCCTTAAATAAATTCAAAACATCTGTTAAATCATATTTACTGAGCAAAGCCTATTACTCACTAAACGATTACTTGAATGACGGGCGTGCATGGCAATAGTTGTTCATGCACTGAATTTTCATTTAATGTTAAGACATAGACACATATATAAATATACATTGTAAATTAGCTGGCTTTAAAAAAAAATTCAATTGAGTTTCTTGCCAGTTCTTCTTAATTGGATCTATATACCGAATTGGACGGTAGGGAAAAATATAAAATTAGAATGTAAAAATTTGACGTTCATAAGCGGCTAAAATATCCTACATGAATGAATGATTTTTGATATGGATCTATATACTGAACTGGACAGTAGGCAACAAAATATAACATAAAAAATTTGACATTTATAAGCGGCTAAAATGTCCTACAAGAATAAATAATTTTTGATTTAGAATACGGAGTGCAATAAAAAGTACCTTGACGATGCTTCTTGCGATGAGGCTGCGTTTCGAATGATCGGTAGAATAAAAAAATATGACTTTTCAAAAGTGCTCAAATTATTTGAATTATTAATATTTATATATCTATTACTCACTGTCCGGTTTTCCCTGGAGTGTGTGACGTAGTTGTATATGGGCACTTCGACCTTCTTGCCTTCCTTGAGCCTCTGCAGTACTGTAATTAGGAGCTCCATGTCGAACGCGTCCGGGTGGTCGAAGTTGTATTCGTTGCGAGTCGCAGCCTGATGCTGCTTCTCGTTTAACACCTGCACATGTTTTTTAGTATTACTAGCTGTGCCCGGCTTCACCCGATAAATTTATAGTCTATTTATTATTCTGATGTATAAGCTATGCTGTTACTATAAGGTTTCATTGAAATCTGATCATTAGTTTTTGCGTGAAAGAATAACAAATATTTATAGATCCATCCATATTTTTTTTATTTGTTCGCAGTTTTTTTATACAGTGGACCCCCGGTAGTCCGACAATCATTTTGCAGGGCAGTGTCGGACTATCGAATTTGTCGGATTATAGAGTACTGCCTAAGACCCCTTATAGTCCGAATTTTTTTACAAAAGAGTACCTTGTATTCCGACAAATTATAGATCCAATGATGATTCTTTATATTATATACATATACAGTGGACCCCCGGTTATCCGACAAACGTTTTGCAGGGCAGTGTCGGACCATCGTATTTGTCGGATTATAGAGTGCTGCTTAAGGGTCCTCTGCTTATAGTCCGGAATTTTTTACAAAAGAGTATCTTGTAATCCGACAAATTACAGATCCAGTGATAAGATTCTATGTTATATATGTATGTATGTATATGCACTCTGAAGTATATTGTCAAAGTAATATTCAATAACAAATAATAGACAATGTCGGATTACAAGGGGGGCCGGATTAGACAGGGGCCGGATTACCGCGGGTCCACTGTATGTATATGTATATATTGAGATTTATAATTTCTTAGGATAATACTGCAATTTTATATAGCGGATGATTTTAGTAGAAATTTTTCTGTACGTCTGTATGTTATATATAGTATATTTCTGCATATTATATTATATATATATTATGTTATAAGTGGACTTAGGCTACGTTTATTTATTTATTTACTAGCTGAGCTCGCGGTTTCACTCGCGTTAAATTAAATAAAAAATATAGCCTATGTTTTATTCTGTAGCATAAGCTATATTACTGTCGAGTATCATCAAAATCCGTTTAGTAGTTTTTGCGTGAAAGATTAACATACATCCATAGTAATCCATACTCACAAACTTTCGCGTTTATAATATAATTAAGATTAAGATAATTGCAGTAAAAACAAGTATTATATTCATATAGAGATATATAATAAAGAAGCTGTATAACGTACCTTGTAGAATGAGTCCATGCTGACTATAGTGACCCATGGTATGTTGAGAGATTCTATGATTTTAGTGGCAACTGTGGTCTTACCGGATGCGCTCCCACCACATATACCTTCAAACAAAAAGAGGCTGCAAATGAATTTCGGTTTTAAATATATGTATGGAAAGTTTAATTTACTACGATAACATTATAACAAGGAAAGATTTTAAATGTTTCTATAATTGAAAGTACCTACTACTGTAAACTCCTAGTATGAACTCATGCTGAAAGGTAGTCTTCTCCGATCGATCCCCCGTCCAATTCAAACGGGGATCGAACTTACGACGGCCTGAACCAAGGTTAGAAACCCTAGCGATGCCCTCAGACTATAGTCGTATCCGTCAAGCGGAAGTTGGCCTTCAGCCACTCCATAAGTCCTTCCGCGGGTTAGGAGTGCCATCTGCACTCGCTCCCTATCGTCCGGTGAAGCTATAAAGGCCAGCTGTGGCCAACAGCATTAGAGTAGTCAGAAGAAAAAATTATAAAAGTTAGGGATTCCAAAAGTGACCGTCCCTGTAATTCTCCCAATGGTCTAATTGATATTTCTTTATTCATTAGCAATGTATATTATGTTTGAATTTATACAAATTTTGCTCATTAACATTGTAAAAAGATTGCTTCAACAGAAAACGCAACCTCTCCCTAAAAATCTTCCAATTATATATTATCTTTAATCTATTGGCCAAAGAGTTATAAAGCCTTACTGCTTGGAAATCCTCACTATGCTTCACAATATTAGGGGTATGTTTTATAATGTTAATCTATTCTACGATTTAATCCATTCTCTTATGTTTTGGCTCTCACTAGTCTCGCTACCAACAATACTATTTCAAAATCTGTTAATAGCAGCACCAATATGTACAGGCATGGTACAGTCAGAATTCTGTATTCTTTAACATATTGCTTACAATATTGCACTTGTTGTATACGGGCAATGGACCTAATAGCTCTTTTTTGTAATATGAATGCCTTATTTTCATTGTATTTATAACTATTGCCTAAGAATTTTATATTATATCTAAGTTTTGATTCCAGTAGAGCGTAATAAACAGTCTTTAACGATCAACAGGAAGATCATCTCTCTATATTTTGCCACGTAATATCTAGAAATTTTGATAGTGATTATCAAGTCTTACTGACCAATGAGGAACGGCTCGACCTCCTGTCCGCCGGTACAGTTGTACCAGGGTGGGCGGCCAGCCGTATAGATGGTGCGCCGATCTGCGTGCAGTATACTCTCCGCGGTGGTTCTCTTGTTGGACTGTGACATGGAAGTGGTTCTGACGCGCCGTGCACGCGGCGACTTGAGGATATTCGAGCCTGAAACATTAAAACAATAGCGATCTAATATATAAAATTGTGTTTCTAACAATGCTTCTTCGAAACGGTATTACCGTTTTTATGTAATTGTGTTTTTTTTTATAACACGGGACAAACGAGCATGCGGCTCACCTGATGGTAAGTGGTTACCGCCGCCCATGAGCACCCGCAACACCAGGGGAATAGCAAGTACGTTGTCGGCCTTTTAAAAAGGAATAAGCTCTTTTCTGTATCGGTTCGGAAATACCATTGCTGGAAGGTGATTCCACAATGCGGTTGTGCGTGGCAAAAAGTTTCTAGAAAACCGCACTGTGGAGGACCGCCATTCATCCAGGTGATCAGGATGGTATTTTAGTTTCTGGAGGGTGGTACGGTGGTGAAACTCAGCAGCTGGTATTAATCCGAACAATTCCTCAGAACACTCCCCGTGATATATGCGGTAGAAAATGCACAGAGATGCAATATCACGCCGCAAAGCCAATGGGTCGAGTCTGTCACATAGACGTTGATTACCAATGATTCTGGCTGCTCGGTTCTGAATGTGGTCAAATGGAAGTAGCTGGTATTTTTTTTTTATAAATGATAATGGAATGGTGCACCCGTCTGCGCAAAGTAGCTGGTATTTTTTTTTATTGTGGATGATAATGGTATGGTGCTCCCGCCTGCGCTAAAGGTTTACGCTGGCGGGGCACCAGTGCAGGATGATAAGATGAACATGAAGTCAGATCAGTTAGCCCATCGTGACAAATTCACCAGGAATTTATCACGATGGTTTCCAGAGGGAACCGCGTGGAGGTCAACCTGACATGGTACATTGCTAGCAATAGGGTTATTAGTCCACATTACTAACAATCCCATTTCCCCCCAGTAGCTGGTATTTTTTTTGTATATGATAATGAAATGGTGCACCCGCTTGCGCTAACGGTTTACGCTGGCGGGACACCAGTGAAAGATGATAAGATGATGATGAGGTCAGGTCAACTGACCTGATGGGCTAACTAGACCATCGTGATAAATTCATCTGGAATTTATCACGATGGTTTCCAGGGGGAACCGCGTGGAGGTCGACCTGACATGGTACATTGCTAGCAATGGGGTCGAGAGTCCACATTCCTAACGATCCCTTTCCCCCCAGTAGCTGGTATTGTGGTGCTCCCGCCCAGAAATGAGAACAGTATTCCATATGTGTGTAAAAAAAAATGTTTACCGCCCAACGAAGCGGGTACGGTCTAGTTTCCATATATCGTTGTTTGCCAACAAGCAAGGCTTGGCCGTCCGCCCAAGTAAGTGGTAATACTTACCATTAGGTGAGCCGCTTTGTTTATCATTATCATTCTGATTACATAAAAAAGGTTATAGCAACATTGAGTAAACTATTTTTTTTTAATTGTCATGACCGGTTTTGTATTATATATTATACTATCTGCGTCCGCGTAAAATGACGATACTTCCATATAACCTTTGAACCCCTTGCAACCCTTATTTTGCATTAAAAAGTAGTCCTATATCCTTAAACTATCTGTGTACCAAATTTCATTTAAATCGGTTCAGTGGTTTCTGCGTGATAGCGAGACAGCAAAACAGACAGAGTTACTTTGGCATTTATAATATTAGTAAGGATTATAATATATATTTCGTTATATATATAATAACTCGCTATTACATTATAATAATTTTCACTTAATCTTACCAATAAATAATACTACATGCCGTAATTTATTTATAACGTTGAACTCGCCTTTGGTCCGTGATATTTCCACAGATAATTTAAAATTTATTATCTTTGCAATGTGAAGATTATAAATAGATCGGGTACTAGCGACCTGACCGGGCTGAACATATTTAACTATGTAACTATAGTTTATGAACATTTTTAACTATAGACTTAATTTTTTTTCTTATTAATTAAAAAAAAATATTTTGTTTGTATAATCTTTTGTTATTATGAATTACATCGCTTTATTAATCATAGTGCGGGTACAATTCCTTCCACTTCATTTCTACAATATTTGTATTTACGAGTAATTTTTTTTGAACAGGGTGGGTGTTTTCTTTGTATATTATGTATGTATTTAAATATCTCTATCAGTTGTCTAGGACCCATAACACAAGCTCTGCTTAGCTAGTGACTAGATGGCGCTGTGTGTATTGTCCTGAGATAACATATTCAAATAGTAAATAAAAATACACGTGTATAATCACAATAAGGTCGTGGGATCCGAACTTTATAAACACGGTTTGCTAGCAAAAATAAATACAAGATAAAGTAAAAATGTGCTAAATATAGATAACTACGCCATTACGTTTACTTATCTTAAATTTGTTATTCTTCTGCTCGCATAATTAATTACATTGCGTCGTAAGTAGAGATGAAATTATTAGAGTTTATTATAAATTATTAAAGTAAAATTTCTGATCATAATTAATTACAATGCGACGTAAGTAGAGATGAAATTATTAAAGAGTTTATTATAAATTATTAAAGTAAAATTTCTGCTCATAATTAATTACATTGCGACGTAAGTAGAGATGAAATTATTAGAGTTTATTATAAATTATTAAAGTAAAATTTCTGCTCATAATTAATTACAATGCGACGTAAGTAGAGATGAAATTATGAAAGAGTTTATTATAAATTATTAAAGTAAAATATTCTGCTCATAATTAATTACATTGTGACTTAAGTAGAGATGAAATTATGAAAGAGTTTATTATAAATTATTAAAGTAAAATATTCTGCTCATAATTAATTATATTGTGACGTAAGTAGAGATGAAATTATGAAAGAGTTTATTATAAATTATTAAAGTAAAATATTCTGCTCATAATTAATTACATTGCGACGTAAGCAGAGATGAAATTATGAAAGAGTTTATTATAAATTATTAAAGTAAAGTATTCTGCTCATAATTAATTACATTGTGACGTAAGTAGAGATGAAATTATTAAAGAGTTTATTATAAATTATTAAAGTAAAATATTCTGCTCATAATTAATTACATTGTGACGTAAGTAGAGATGAAATTATGAAAGAGTTTATTATAAATTATTAAAGTAAAATATTCTGCTCATAATTAATTACATTGTGACGTAAGTAGAGATGAAATTATGAAAGAGTTTATTATAAATTATTAAAGTAAAATATTCTGCTCATAATTAATTACATTGTGACGTAAGTAGAGATGAAATTATGAAAGAGTTTATTATAAATTATTAAAGTAAAATATTCTGCTCATAATTAATTACACTGCGACGTAAGTAGGGATGAAATTATGAAAGAGTTTATTATAAATTATTAAAGTAAAATATTTTTAGCAGACTGTATGGTATATATATGCTATATAGACGGTATAACTATATGGTAGGAGCTAAGTCGGCGCTAGAGAATTTTATTTCAAACTAGCTGTACATACGACTTCGTCCGCGTGGAATAAAACTTTATTTTTCTAAAATAAAAGTAGCCAAAGTTACTCCTTATTACACTGCCAAAAAATTCCGTCAAAATCGGTCCAGCCATTTCAGAGATTAGCCGGAACAGACAGACAGACAAAAATTGTTAAAAATGTTATTTTGGTGTATGTACCGTGTTTATACTAATATGCATGTAGTAAAAAACGGTTATTTCAATATTACAAACAGACACTCCAATTTTATTTATATGTATAGATGTATAGATTTCATTATTTAGTTGTAACAAACTTATAGACGGACGGACAAAATTCGCTTTACGATACCTAGTATGGATAAGTCATCTGTCAGCGAAGCTCACCAACCTTTCCTGTTTTTTTATTAGATGATAATGGTATGATGTACCCGCCTGCACTAACGGACGGGGCACCAGTGGAGGGTGATAAGATGAGCATGAGGTCAGGTCAGTTAGCCCATTGTGGCAAATATATCAGAAATTTATCAATATTGTTTCCAGGGTGCGTGGAGGTCAATCTGACATGGTACATTTCCAGTAATGGGGTCATCAGCCCTCATTACTAACAATCCGGGGGGACCTTTCTTGTTAGTGGTCAAATTCCGACCGTTATTGGATCTACACCCATATTGCGGCACGTGTTTCGCCTCTAAACGAGGCATCATCAGACAATGTGTAGAATTTGGTATACTCGTAGTGCGGTCGCGGAATAGTCTACACTAGGCTCCAACGCGAAATAGTCAACACTAAGCTCCAAACTGTATTCATTGTCCGATGATGCCTCATTAAACACGTCGACTATCCGGAGTCTAGTTTTGACTATACCGCATTGGAGCCTAGTGTTGACTATTCCGCGATCGCACTACGAGTATATCCAAACTCTATTCATTGTCACATGATGCCTCTTTAAACACGTAGACTATTCGGAGTCTAGTTTTGACTATACCGCGTTGGAGCCTAGTGTTGACTATTCCGCGACCACACTACGAGTATATCCAAACTCTATTCATTGTCCGATGATGCCTCATTAAACACGTCGACTATCCGGAGTCTAGTTTTGACTATACCGCGTTGGAGCCTAGTGTTGAGTATTCCGCGACCGCACTACGAGTATATCCAAACTCTATTCATTGTCCGATGATGCCTCGTTAAAGACGTCGACTATCCGGAGTCTAGTTTTGACTATACCGCGTTGGAGCCCAGTGTTGACTATTCCGCGACCGCACTACGAGTATATCCAAACTCTATTCATTGTCCGATGATGCCTCCTTAAACGCGTCGACTATTCGGAGTCTAGTTTAGACTATACCGCGTTGGAGCCTAGTGTTGACTATTCCGCGATCGCACTACGAGTATATCCAAACTCTATTCATTGTCCGATGATGTTTCGTTAAACACGTTGCCTATTCGGAGTCTAGTTTTGACTATACCGCGTTGGAGCCTAGTGTTGACTATTCCGCGACCACACTACGAGTATATCCAAACTATATTCATTGTCCGATGCCTCATTAAACACGTCGACTATCCGGAGTCTAGTTTTGACTATACCGCGTTGGAGCCTAGTGTTGACTATTCC